TATGAAGCCAGTTGACTACAGACTTTTTTGTATTATCCTCTTAAATCAACTTGTCGCACGAGGGGCTCGACGATAAGATACGATTCTCTTTCTTATAAAATCCCACAGAATTGCGATTGGAAATCTGCTTCAACTTTGCACTCAACTTTTTACCACTCCCTTCGATTGGCCAATCAATTGTGACATTTTCGTAATCGCCGACCAACAATGAAAGCCTTTATCAATGGGCGGGTGTACGACTTGGTATCTCGGTAGCCCAGCGCACTTATGTATACCTTCTTCTATTGCAATCACATTCCTCAAACGTCATTGTTATCGCGTGCAATCTGCTGAGGAGCACATGGCCTTTCCGAAAATTATCTGGCACTAATATCGGTGTAGAACGCATGCCATGAACCTCTTATTTTTAACAACCAGCTGATAAAACAGGCTACATGTCTCCCAATTGCCTATTTAGCACTACACTGCAATCGCAGGTGTAGTCCGCTTTTTAAATATTTAATTTTAACAACAGAAAGATCATCAATCACTTATTACAGCTTTCTCTCTTGTTTTTATTTAAAAATAACTTTGTATCATTGAGCCATTTTGTGGCTCCCTTCAAGTTAAAACTCAATTTGTAAAAATTAAGTTGGTACAATTCAACTAATATTTATTTAATAATTATTTCATTCTGTAGTTAAACCAAATTAACACCTTACCAAGCATTGTTAGCTGGGTGCTCAAGTACCCATTGATATGAAGAAATAAAAAACCCAATTTAATATTTCAACCGGAGAATTACAGATTTCATACGAGACTTAATGTAAACTTCAGGTAAGGCTCAAATCCACAAGGCCAAATGGTATCAAGATACTATAAATCAGTAGATAGAAAAAATAGCAGTGCGAATCCTAAACCTGATACTCCCTTATCAGATACCGTGTAGTAGCGATTGTATTATAAAGGCCCGTTCGGAGCAAATCCAATTTAGTCTTGCCGCGAGTTTCAACGGCTACGAAGTTGTGGTCGGGCTAAACAGATGCATTTATCAGTCATTAGTATTCGGGCAGTACGCAGAGAGTTACGACGTTGAAACCCGTTTCGGCCATAACAAGCCGATAGTACTCATCAAATACAAAGCAAAACAAACAATAAAAAGTTAATTAACTGGCGTTCCACAAAATCAAGGTGCAATCATTATATAGACTTTAAAACAAACTGAATTTACAAAAAGTGTTTCAATGTAAACTCTGTATGTCTTTACTCCAGTTTATTGTGGAATAAAAACCGTATTCGAGAAAAACAAGTGTGCTCAAGGGTGAATCTATAACCGTATTCTCAGAACTGGATTATTAAATAGAAGTGCTTTATTAACTTTCACGTGTTTGGCTAAATGCCACTCTGATATTGTTATCAACTTTTTTTCTATTACCCTGAATGGAAATTCCGAACCGAAAGACCACATAACGAGGACATATACTATATTGAATGCGATTTACAGCCCAATTTATCAGGAATGAGAGTTGAAGTGGGTTATTTACAACCAAAGCTAAAGTTTAACATTTTAAGTTAATGCCCGGAAATTATTTGAGAGTATTCACGTGCTTGAGTTCAGTCATTGACTCTGAAAAACCAAGTACCCAATGCCATATTCGAGTCCTCCAGGCCCATGTGCAAACTTAAAAAAAAGAATCTTCGGATCTTATCGCTTTCTTATAAGTGGTATGAGTAGTCCAACAATCCGAACTTTGATTTACCTAGCTAACACAACCCTATCTTGTGCTATTGGACAATTGGCATATCTGCCCACTCGAGAACTAAAATATTTTGATAGAGATAATGTCAGATTATGATTGCGGTAAATTACCTGTTGCCGGGTAGTTATACCCAAACCTCGTAGTTTTACTCTACGTATAATAGATTCGTTGAAAAGTATGTAACAGGTTGAATAATCATTAATTTCGAATAATTATTCTTCACCAGGATGTCCGTCCGTCCGGATGTCCGTCCGTCCGTATGAAATTCGATGTGTTGGATTCTCTACGAGCTAGAATTCTGACATTAGTAATGCACATAACGCCTAAGCAGCTTAAAACGTGTTTCTAAACGTTGCAACGCTCTTATCGGTAAAGTCTGCCCACGTGCTCAATGTCTAAAAATGTTTTGATAAGCTTATCAAAAATAGACACCTTAGAATTGCTTAAACTGAACCTTTAGAAAGTTGTTAAGAGAAAACCAAAGGAATATTAACAAAATAAAGCAAGTAAATGTAATGCTAAAGCTTTCGGATTCTGCTCGCAACACACTCCATTTGCTGTACAGGGTATAAAATAGTCGCAACACTTAACTTCAGCGTTCGCTCTTGATTTTCGTTATAGATGTCGGCCGAATCTTCAAAAGGATCTATTAACAATGGTTACGAACTGGATCATGTAAGCTTGCCGTTAAACGTATATGATAACTAATATAATATTATAAATTATTATAGAAAGAGTTGGACATCCGGGACTCGGAGGAATTCAAGGAAATTCCGCTGGAAAACATAAGCGAGGTCCCAAATAAAAGAGGATATTTTGAAAAGAATCCTAAAGTAGCCCGACTTGTGAGGATCTCGATTTATGTATTTCTGCATCTTTTTGTTGTGGGATACTTCTCCTATGCGACCTATCACTACCATGACATAAGTAAGTATATCGCCTAGTAATTAGACATAAGTACTCCATTACTTCTCTACAGCGAATTACGAGTGCCACTGGCAAGAAAACCCGTTGTGCGGCATCAACTTCTGCACGGGTTACGGAATGCTGCTGCTCCTCCTGGGATTCATCTATTTGGGTCTCTTCTACTACTACCTCTTCAAGCCGATGGTGGGCCACAGCCTGCACAGGAACTACATCAGGCCCTTTTCGAAGAAATGGCACAACTTTAGCAGAACTAGGTAAGTCCGTACCCCTATTTAACCAGATTTTCGAGACAGATTGGGATTAATTTGTTCAACCTTCTCAGCCAATCGTTAGCAAAACCTCGAATCTATTTTAAGTTTGCATTTTCTTATACAGAGGCAAAATAATAAGATAGTAAATCTGTAAATTTCCATATTGAATTTAAAAAATCGTACTCACTGTTTGGCATTATATTTTAATTAATATATATAACTACAAAAAAACCGTATAGCATTATATAACATTTCTTAACTTAGTTCAAAGTCCCGTGAGAACCATTTAAACTTAAAATATTTATTATTACTATTACTATTTTAATTATTACCTCTCTTTGTTTTCCCAGAGTTGTGTCATTGGCCAGCATCGCATTGCTCCTGACCCTATTGGCCATCTTTTCGTACTTCGAGTGCCGGGACGAGCCCCAAAAACTGGTGTCCCTGGTGGCGCCCTGCTTCTTCATCCTGTGCGGCTACGTTTTCTCTACGAATCGAAGGGCCATTCAGTGGCGCATAGTCATCACGGGGATCACGTGCCAGTTCCTGCTCGGCATTTTCTGCATCCGCTGGGAGGTGGGCCGCAAAATCTTCGAGTGCATTGGAAACAAGGTGGCCACGTTCCTGGACTACGGCACCGATGGAGCCGAGTTCGTGTTCGGTGACTTCCTGGTGAAAAACAATGTGTTCGCCTTCGCCATCCTGCCGGTGATCTTCTTCTTCAGCTTCTTCATCTCCATCCTGTACTACATGGGCACAATGCAGTGGGTGGTGGTCAAGCTGGGCTGGATCCTGCAGCAGATCCTGGGCACCACTGTTTGCGAAAGCGTGACGGCGGCAGCCAACATCTTTCTCGGCATGTCCGAGAGTCCGCTGCTCATCCGCCCGTATATCAACAAGCTGACCAAAAGCGAAATCCACACCATCATGGTGTCCGGCTTTGCGACTGTGTCCGGAACGGTGCTGGCGGCCTACTTGTCCTTTGGTGCCTCGGCCGCCCACTTGATCACCTCCTCGGTGATGGCAGCTCCCGCTACTCTGGCTATCTCTAAGCTTTACATGCCCGAGACAGAGGAGAGCCAGACCTCATCCGATAAAATCGAGCTGGAAAAATCGTACGTATTTCTGAGTAGCTCAGTATAACCCAAATGGCTAACTAGTTGCCAATCATACTTGTAGACAAGACTCTTCTCTGTTAGACGCAGCGTCCAGTGGTGCCAGCAACGCTGTGCCCATTGTGCTTGGCATCATCGCCAACATAGTCGCCTTCGTCGCCTTTATCGCCTTCCTAAATGGTCTAGTCAGTTGGTTCGGATACCTGGTGGGTCTTGAGGATATCGACTTCGAGTGGATATTTTCGAAGCTCTTCATCCCGCTGGTCTGGGCCATGGGAGTGCCGAAACAGGACTGCGATATCATCGCCAAGGTGGTGGCCACCAAAACCATCATCAACGAGTTTGTGGCCTATGAGCGTCTGGGTCAATACATCGAAAATAATCAAATCACTGTGAGTTGTCGATGGTGTAAATCCATTAATCCATCAACCAAAGACATTAGAATAATGTCTAAAGCCTTTGCATTAACTCATCTGGAAACTAAAGATAAATTTCAATTATCGTAGGCCCGCAGCGCTGGAATCGCCACATTCGCCATCTGCGGCTTTGCCAATCCCAGTTCCTTGGGCATCCTTATCGGATCCCTCAGCGCCATGGCGCCCCATCGTCGCTCCACCATTACATCAGTTGCCTTTCGAGCATTTGTGGTGGGCAGCATAGTCTGCTTCGTATCCGCCAGCTTTGCAGGTCAGTGGATGACCGATCGAAAGTATTTTGTTATTTTAACTAGTTTCACTATATTCCAGGCATCCTTATACAAGAAGAGGATGAGCGGACGAACTACAACAGGATATTCGAGAAATTGGGTCGAAAGAATGTTACACAGTTTTAGTTCCTTGAAGTTGTAGTTCGTGATAATTAGCTGATCAAATTAGGCAAAATACACTTCTTATTTATTAAATATGTTTAGGGGTACTTTTATTTATTTGTTTTCAAGGGGGCTGTGGGATCTGAGTCAGTAGATCACACTCTTGTTTATACAGCACACTTTAATTCACTTACACACAAAATGGCAGATCCACAAGGAGGTGAACTGGAAGAAAAACCTCCACCATCGAGGACAGAGCGAATTACCTATTTAGTACTTCATGTGCTGCTTCATGTCATATTCATATCTTACTTTACGGCAGCCACAATCATTTTCATCTTGTACGGTGAGTTACCACACTTAATTATGAACTCGTATGTTAATAAACAAGCCTAGACAAGGAATCCAAAGACTGCTGGCCCAATAGGGGAGCCACTACCCAATCGATAGCTAACTTAACTGAGGACGATGATGATGATGATGAAGAAGAATTTTCAGAAAAGACCGTGCCAGAAGTAAAACCAAAAATATTGTGTAAAATTAACTGGTGCCACGGATACGGGTTCCTCATCGTCATGTTCATTTTATTTTATATTTTATGGCTGTACTACTGGGTATTTAAGCCATTCGTGGGCATCAAGCTGTATAATAACTACCTGGAACCAGCCATTGACAGATGGATTGAATTCAGTCGCCAGTGGTGAGTACAAGCTCAATTTTAGTATATTGAGGTTCCCTTTGATTTATATAAGCATTCGGTGGAACGAGCGCCACTAGTCTCACATTCAAATGCTCGAGACGGCATACTTCAACAGCAATTGTTTTAATACGATAAGTCATGAATTTAGGGCCCCCGAAGTTTCTTCCCAGAAGTAAAATCTTCTAATCACATCCTTCCATTTTCTCCAAATCTAGGGTAGTGTCCGGCGTAATGCTAGGGATTGTGGTCGCTGTGGCGGTGGCCTACCTCGGTTACGAGTGCCGCAATGATGCGTTCAAGGCAGTCGGACTGCTGGGACCCGTGTGCTTCGTCCTGATCGGATTCGCAGTGTCCAAGCACCACAAGAGAGTACCTTGGCGCATAGTGACGCACGGGCTCCTGGGCCAGCTGCTGTTGGGTATACTCTGCCTGCGCCTCCCTTTTGGCCGCTCTGTCTTCCAATGCCTAGGAGACAAGGTGACGATTTTTCTGCAGTACGCCCGGCACGGAGCCCGCTTTGTATACGGGGATCGCATCTGCGATGAATATGTCTTCGCATTTGCCATTCTGGCGGTGGTGTTCTTCTTCAGCGTGATCACTAGCATAATGTATTACCTTGGCTGGATGCAGTTCATACTGAGCGGTTTTGGCTTCTTGTTGCAGGCCATGGTGGGCACCACTGTTTGCGAAAGTGTAAATGCAGCGGGTAACGTCTTTCTAAGCATGACCGAGAGCCCTCTGATCATCCGCCCGTACATTGAAATACTAACCGTCAGCGAGTTGCACGCTATATGCACCTCCGGCTACGCGACAGTGGCGGGTACTGTCCTGGGGGCGTATGTGTCCTTCGGTGCTTCGGCAGCCTTTCTAATTGCAGCCAGCGTGATGGCTGCGCCGGGATCCCTTGCTTTCGCCAAGCTGTTCTACCCCGAGACCGAGGAATCTCTGACCAGGTCCGACAACATTAGGCTGGAAAGATCGTGAGTTTCTCTTCATAAAAGATAACTTCTGATAATCGCCTAACTACCTTGTTAAGGACGGATACGTCTATTTTGGATGCGGCAGCCGCGGGAGCTGCGGCAGCCTTGTTGATTGTGCTCGGAATCGTCTCAAATATCATTGCCTTCCTAGCCATTGTGTTTTTCCTAGACGCTGTAACGGAGTGGATTTTTGAGTTACTTGGACTGCAAAACATTACCCTGCTATACCTTCTCTCCCAGATCTTTATTCCCATTGTCTTCGTTATGGGAGTGCCGTGGAAAGACTGTGAAGAAATTGGCCTGGTGGTGGCCCAAAAATCGTTCATCAACGAGTTTGTAGCCTATAAGAACCTAGGCTTATTGATGAACGATAAAAAGGTTGAAGTGAGTACACATCCGTATATTTTCTTTGTATACATTATTTTGAACCTATTATACTTATAGCCGCGGAGCGCTGCCATTGCCAATTTTGCTCTTTGCGGGTTTGCCAATCCCGGATCCCTGGGCATTGTCATCGCTTCGCTAAGTGCAATGGCGCCGACGCGACGAACAGACATCACCAGGGTAGCTGTTCGATCTTATTTCGCAGGCAGTTTTGTTAGCTTTACATCGGCTTCGTTTGCAGGTAAACTTAAATACATTATTTACACATTATTTCTAACCGCCACATCATATTTATTAGGGATTCTCATTCAAAATGAGTTTGCGGACAGTAATTAATTGCTCTATGTTAGCGAGCGATACGAAAAGCATGGATCATTCCCAGGTTTGAAAACGTATAATTTTCATAATGTGTATACAAAGTTAGGGTACGATTCTACTCAAATTATCCATAACTTTCTTGTGCAAGTCCCAATCGGCAGCATCGAAGTCCGTACTGCAAAGCTGAAGAGAAGCCTCATACATTTCACGAAGGATTTCTTTAGGTGCCAATTCACTCCGCTTACGTTTTAAGCTGGAGCATAGACATTTGTGATCTTCATGCCGAATGTAGCTTGATTTACAGAGATTAATTGAACCATCGAGCATCGTTTTGGGTTTGTCCTGCAAAGCCTTAAACAATGGGTCTATGGAATGGCGGGCACTAAAGGCTCTTAGTTGGGCGTCATCGCTGACTTTGCAGGAGTCAAGGAATTTCTGTCCATGCCAGTTTGTGCATCCACTATTTGGTGTCAGTCCCCTGAGTATCAGTAATTGGGTGGACTTATTCCCACGTGCTAGTAGTTTGAAGTAAGCATTAGCAAAGGTAACGCTTTTGTCAATGCCGAGAAGTTTCTTGGCCATTTCCGATGTCTGCTGAAACCAATGGGAACAGTCTATTTGATCGTGTTGCACCAAAAGTTCCTGAAGCGCAACCTTGGGTTATACAAATTAAACGTATGTATACACATTTTATAAATTTACTTTTACTAGCTTACCATTTCATAGTAGACCTCAACTTTTGTGGGCGCTGAGGAGGATATGAGTTCTAAGCGCTTCAATATCTTCATTCCTATGTGGCTATCGGCTTTTGCTACGGCAGACAGGTCCCGGAAGTTTTGAAAGCTTATGGCAGGAAGTTGGTGCTTTCTCAAGCAGTGGAAATATTTAAGGAATCGTTGCACGTGCAATTGGCTGGGACTTGTGGAAAACATGGCGTAAGAATTATTGCACTTATGCCAGAAAGCTATAGCCTGTTCTTTGGCATGATCTGTCCAGCATTTGTTAGCCTCTCTTAGTCTGAAACAGAATGGCTTATTAAATTTAGAGTATTTGATATATATTTACTAACCGGAAGCACAGCATGAGAATATCGGCACACACTTGCGATGTAACAAAATCATTTTGAAATATGCCGGTACAGAAATACTTATGTAATTCTATGTTACCCACCAAATACAAAACACTTCCAAAAGCTTGCAGTACTTGATTCCAGCGTTCACCATTGACAAAATTGTTGGCATCTGTGGGCTCAGTAAGTAGTAAGAAATAAATGTGATCCAAAAGACTCCTTACCTTTGAACAAATACTCAAATATTTTTTGTAATGTTCGGCATGTACTTGGAGGCACATCCGCATTGTCTGACGATACAGCATTTAAAAAATCAATGCAAACGTCGAAGTAGTCAGATTCTGGGGTACCAAGGGTACTGGATATTAAATACTAGAAAGTCAAATGTTATATTAAAATAGATCTGAAAGGCGGGTGATAGATAAATCGGTTCCAAATAGAGTCTACCAGAAGGCAAAAAATTCGATTGACTTATTTGCAAGCGATTTCTGCAGCCCGCGGAGAATTTCATCTTACATCTTGACACTTTTGGAATGAGTAAACCAGCTCTAACATATCTATTACGTGTGGTCTTACATACGTTGAAATTAGCTGTTGCTGTTCGATGTCGGAGTAATATGGTAACCTCCTAGGGAAAAGACAATTATGGCCAATGACTATTTAAGTTCCCAAACTTACGTTTGTTCACACATTACTAAATCCATCAGACAAGCAGCTACATCATCATCAACATGCACTACTCCTTTTTGAAGAATACTATGTAGCATTAAAAAATAGGTCCGGATAATAACTATAATCTCTCTTAACTTTTCCGCAGGAACATTAGGTGTGCCCTGAAAATTAAAATCTATTATGTTAAATAAACTGTTATACAAATCATAATATATGTTATACGAACGCTGCTAAAAGAACTGTCCAAGTAACTGATACCCATTTCACATAGATGCAATACAGTTTCCCTAAGCCAATCGGGCATTTTTTCGTCCTTAGGATTACCATGACAGATGGACATGAAGTGCAAGCACATGTTAGCCACCGCCTCACTTGTCCTTACAGACAACTGCAGATCACCAATACGCGTTCCTTCGAAATCTGCTATTTCCATTATCTTTTGCATTACTACAATAGAAAAATATAAATTACTTTAGAGCCACTCCAGCTACTACCAAATATTATTATTAAATTCGACGGATCACATATCGTTCGAGCAAATTCGTCAAATTTAAGCCGAAAGTTTAAACTAAAACCAGCTAGTTCGATAGTATCATTAAGATAGTGTTCCTAACTTACAGAGCACAAGGCGAGGGTGGACTTTTGTCGATTTAGTGCTGGTGTCCTTTAGTAAAGAAAGCGTAGCGAGCTGAAGATCCGCTACAATCTGATGGTGACTCCGTTCGCTTGATGATGTAAGCATAAGTATATGAAAAATAATATCCTCGAGATAGGTTTTTATCCGAGCAGCTCTTACCTTCCTAAACAGAACTCGATCATTAAAAAGACAAGATAGCCAAGGATATGAACCAGACGTTCGCCTGCTTTCAGTAAATGATCCCTAAATTCGGATGCAAAGACATGGGCCATAGACATGAGTTTTATATGACCGCTGTGGACTTCAGTGTCAGTTTGTGATTCCTGAGGACGAAATTAAAATTAATAAACTAAGCACATTGTGTGACGATTACCTACAATTGTAAACCACTTGCACATTTCCTTAACTGCTCGTACGCAGCACACAGATTCATCCATGTATGCTCTTAATAGTTTACTGAACCACAATGTCAAGACATCCACCGGGTTCGCGGATTTATTTGCGATACATGCTGAGCAAATGGAAATCGCCGAATCTACGTCTATTAACAGGATGATGTCCTCCTGGTCTATAGTCACTAGCTCACTGTAGGTTACAGATATACCCAGGCTATCATTGTTCCCGGACATCTTTGCATAAGTTCTAAATCCTCAGTGTTTACAAAATTATCGCGCCAATTGGTTAATACAGATGGGACACTGACATGTCGATAACTTGACTAGTATCGATCAATTTAAAGGGAACTATCTCCTTCACACATATATCTAAGGTAGATTTGAATGAAAAATCAAAAAGTTAATTAAATTTAAATTAAAAATGGGTATTAAATAAATCACATATAATTCTGAGAATAAATGAAAAATCAAAGTAAATAGAATTTAAAGTCAAAATGCGTATTAAATGCAGCTTACATTCGCACAGAGCACACATAAGAACGTATCGATAGTTACATACCGATACGAAATTCTTTTCTTCCATCACTAATATTAGCGCACGTTGTTTTCTTTTTTAATTTCGTTGTATTTTTATTTACCTAAATGCAACGAAAGGAGACCAATCCTTTTCAGATTCTGGGCCTACGTCCATGGTTGGTAAAGCAGCTGACCAAGTTGGGTAATGTCAAGCCGGCCACGTGGTGAACCAAGTAATTTATCCTTTGCGCTTTACAGGCCTGAAAGGGGCAACCCCAATCCAACAGAAATGCATCCCGGCGATATTGGCGGGGCAGGATTGCATTGGAGCTGCCAAGACGGGCTCGGGCAAGACTTTCGCCTTTGCCCTGCCCATTCTGGAGCGGCTTAGCGAAGAGCCAGTGAGCCATTTCGCCCTGGTGCTGACGCCCACACACGAGTTGGCCTACCAAATATCCGAGCAGTTCCTGGTAGCTGGGCAAGCGATGGGTGTGCGCGTGTGTGTCGTCTCTGGCGGAACAGACCAAATGGTAGAGAGCCAGAAACTTATGCAGCGGCCGCATATCGTGGTGGCCATGCCAGGCCGTCTCGCGGATCACCTTACCGGCTGCGACACCTTCTCCTTTGACAATCTAAAGTATTTGGTTGTTGACGAAGCTGATCGCATGTTGAACGGCGACTTTGACGAGAGCTTAGCTATTATCGAGCGTTGTCTGCCCAAGAAAAGGCAAAATCTCTTTTTTTCCGCAACCATGAAGGACTTCATTAAGGAGTCCAGCATATTTCCCATCGCCAGCGATGTAAGTTCGTTGAACACGCTATTGAATGGTACTCTTAGATGTTTTTTTTTCCGAATTTAGTGCTTTGAATGGTCGCAGGACTCAGACGTCGCCACTGTGGACACTCTGGACCAGCGCTATCTGCTTTGCGCCGACTACGATCGCGACATGGTTTTAATAGAGGCACTGAGAAAGTATCGCGAGGAAAACGAAAGCGCTAATGTCATGATATTCACCAACACAAAAAAGTGAGTGCAGAATAACAGGAAGTAAATATAATATATATATTAACGTTTTAATAATAACCACTTAGGTACTGTCAACTTCTCTCGATGACGCTAAAGAACATGGACATCGATAATGTTTGCTTGCATGGTTTCATGCGACAAAAGGAGCGCGTGGCTGCTCTCAGTCGCTTCAAATCCAACCAAGTACGTACACTGATAGCTACGGATGTGGCCGCCAGAGGTTTGGATATACCCAGCGTCGAGCTGGTTATGAATCACATGCTTCCGCGGACACCCAAGGAGTACATCCATCGTGTGGGCAGAACAGCGAGAGCGGGTCGCAAAGGCATGTCCATCTCCATATTCCGCTTTCCACGCGATCTAGAGCTATTGGGCGCCATCGAGGAGGAGATCAACACCAAACTCACAGAGCATCCCATCGATCGTAAGTTATGTTAGAATTAGTGACACACAAAATAAATAACATTTATATACTTTAGAGCGCATGGTGGAGAGGATCTTTATGCAAGTAAATGTCACGCGCCGTGAATCTGAGATGCAATTAGATAATAACGATTTCGACGAGCGAGCGCAAAATTATAGGCGAAAGACGTGGATTATGGAGGGCAAGGATCCAGACCAAATGGAAGCACTGTAAGCAGTAGAAGATCCGCCTATTTTTGTATTTTAAGATAAACCTTGTATCCGATCCATAGGTATCGCAAAAAGCAGAAGGATAAACTAAAGGAAATACGTCGAAAGCGGAAACTGCAACAGGCAGAGTCGGCAGCCAGCGAAGAGGGTAAAGCTCTCCTACTGGATGAGCGCTTTAAATCTGTAGACAATGGGCGATTTGAGAAAAAGGGAAAAGGACGAAGTAGAGCTGCCCAAGGAGATACTTCATCAAAACCGCTGAAAAGGCTTAAAGGAATACCAGTTGCCAAAAAGGGCAAAGGAGTTATGAAAAAGTCAATGGGGAAGCTAAAGCGTGATGTTTAAATATACTTTTATGTAATAACAAATTAACTTTTGAGCTTACACTGCTAAGTAGTTGCAAAATTCTAACTTAAATAATTTCCAAAATTCAGACATGCTAAGGCTAGATGACCAGGCACTAGGGGCGCATCACTAGAATCAGTCTAAAGCGATTGTCAGAAGGGCATCCTCTGGGTGAACCTCTAGCAAAGCCTTGGCACCATCGTTGAAGGGGAACGAAATGCTGCCGTCTATAACCAGGTCTGTGAAGATGTAATGCCATTGTTATTTATCATATGTCATTCCGTATCTGGACAGGCAACTACTCACTGGCATCGATGCAATGCGACTTGACAAACACGGTCTGCACAAAATCGCGCTCCTTAAAAGTCTTTGGTGAAGGCCAGACGCCCACGCAGATTTGCTCCCGGATTGAATAGCAGAGGCGCGGGTCGTCTGGCGCGAACAGCAGGCCCTGGTTGTACCTCTGAGCGATCTCCTCTGCATTTTGGCGTAGCATCATCACGTTCTTTGAATTGCCATTCGGAAGGGAGCGCAACAGGTCGTCAACATCCCGGCTTGTGATGCGATTGATGCTGGTGTGCCAGGATGTTGAGCCCGTTCCTGTGCTGACGCACAATCCAGAGCATTTTGTCTTGTTTACCACGTCCTGGTGGTCCAGCACCAGTTGCAAGTGAGACACTCGGGCCGATAGATGCTCACCAATAAATACCTATGTAGATAAATGGAAAGATCTACTAAGTCCATTATAAAACCTTCCATGTCATACCTCGTTTAAGGCCAAGTAAGGAAGTACACGTTTCATCTTGGCCTTGTACTTGTGAGCCATATCCTGGTCCAGAATTTCGGGTGCAGTGCTGACCTGCTCCATCTTGACCTCCGTATGCCGGAAAAGGTCAGTTGGCTCTGGAATCTTGCCATTGCTACCCAGCATCGTTGTCCGCACCCTCGAGCGATGCATCCACTTGAAATCGCCCTGCCAGGAATGGGGATATTTATTTAATGCACTAAGATAACCTACACGTTGCAGGACTTACGCTCTTGATGCGGGAAACGGCGTCGGCCGGATTGTCCGAGTAGTGCTTGGGCAGCATAAGTCGGCCCTCCGAGTGAAGCGGATCCGAGTTGAAGCCGACGATCGGCGTCTTCTGCTGGCTGAGTGCGAAGAGCGGACTGGCGCGTCCAGCGGAAAGAAGGAAAGTGCCATCGCCGCCCACTGGCACGATGACATCCGCCCAGCTCATGACGTCCTTGCTCAACGAGCTTCTAAATTCAAGTCTGCTCGTTTAGTAAAGTCAACACACAGGGCGAGGGGCCGCATAAGAGACACGAAGTGTGTGAAGATGGTGGAGATCAATTGTAGTGGGAAGTAGTCACAAATCGAAGATACATATAGAGTATAGTATGTGACGAAGTGACGAGACACACAACACAAAATTGGGAGCAGTGACTGGAGGCCTGAAGGTGTGGATACCTGGGTGCATGTCGTCATAGAAAGGATTTCATTCAAAGCCATGAAATCATATCTATTACTCAATTACTTACTTAATTACTTTCCGACATTTGTAGGTAGTTTAAGATCCAATTCGTAAGAAAATATTTACGTTTAATTTATCCTTGTAAATAAATGCTGCCTTGTTTTTAGTACATGTACCCAGGGCCTCCACCCTGTTTAGGCAGCACTCCACATAGGACTGTGTGTACGCACCTGCTGGACAACTTCACCTCGCATCCAACGTCCTGGAAGCTCTGCACGATCCGCCGCTCGAAGTCTTTGTGCACCTTGTGCAGGTGGAGGACCATCTCCACGTCGGTGCCTCGGTCACGGAGCTTTTGCTGGAGCTGATCCGGTGACAGTTCCGGGTGGCGCAGCTGCTCGAACTCATAGCGGGACAACTTGGTGACGACCAGGGCCCGCTTAAGCCTGAAGTTGGTCGGCGTATACTTTGCGTACTCTGTTTAAAATGGCAAGTTGCAAGCGAAAGACCTCGTTAGTCCGATCAATGTTTGCTCCTTGTCAAGGGAAATTTACTCAACCCCTCAGGAACAATTTTCCTGCCGTTTTGGAGCATCTTACGACCGAAATCAATGTGTAACTACTCGGTTTTAATGGAAATTTCCCGGAACAGCTGATAAACGATACAGTGCAAGTGGAAAGTATTTTTCGTCCAAAACGTTTATTGAAAAAAGTTTTATATTCATTTTTGTACCAATCTAGTTTTTGGTAGTTTTTCTAAAAGTTGTACATATGTACATATCTTACATACCACGCAGCACAACATAATTATTATTTATAATTATAATTACATAGGCGAATTGGAATTGACATTTTTAAAGATTACTGGTTCTTTCATTAAGTAAACAAATTACAAAATTAGGTACAAATTACGTTCTTCAAATTGATTTTGTAGTTAATATCAGTTTTTGTTCTGTGCTCAATATTAAGAAGACGAAAATATGTAGATTTGGCTTAATATCCACTTTTTGGCGGAAAAATTTCGTCAGCCAGTGTGCGTGGGGAAAGTTCATCATGACAAAGAATTTGGCGAAAAAGTGTTTACTGATAATCTTCGGCTTGGTCAACCTCAGAAGCGATTAAGGCTGTCAAAGCGAGCCTACGATCTGGTGATATAGTATTAGTTTACTCCAGCAAATGCCTAAGGCTGATAATGAAGGCGGCAACGAAATCACAGATAGCTAATGTGTATAAAACACCTCAAATTGTGCCGTTTCAGCTCCGAAATCCCACGCATCCTTACCTTTGGAAAACTGTTGGAGCAACTGCTTCGACTTCAACATGCTGGGCACTACCGAAGACGAACAACGCACATTTAGGGTACTGTGTTAAGTTTATTTCGTATTCTTTGGGAAAATCGTTTCAGAAAAACTACGCTATACAAGTATCTAAATGAAAAGAATCGATGGCTCTTTCTTCCGTTGGCCACTTCTGACTGCGATTGCCCAAACAAAATATCTAAGTGTCCGTTCTACATTCGACAATAGCCAAAACATAGGTTGATATTAGTGTTTAGCACTATCCGGAGTTACGATCACTACTAACTATCCCGCTATCCGATCCCGATGATCATTTTCACGTCCGCTCTCTAGCGGCTTGGCAGATTAACTGATTAATACTCTGTTCCTCTCCGGCACATCGGTTATGTATATGAAATCGCTTTTGCTGTAAATTTATCGCCGCTTGTTTCTATTTTCGTCCGCTTTCGCCTCTCACATCTCGTTCGTCCGTGTGTACTTCTTGTTGTGCATTACTGATAAGCGGCGAAGCCTGTTCTTATCAGCCGAAATATGTGTTCTATATAAAAAAAGCAGACAGCGACTATTCACCCCTGGCATTCACTATCATCGTCGAAATCGTCTTCTTCTTGCCTGCGTCGACTTACAATTCGCACAGAAAGTGCGCGCCAATCCGACGAATTTAAATTAAAACATGAGCTGCTTGTTACTTAAAAATAACTTAATTTAGATAGGTCCTCTAAGTATATCTCGGTTATCTAGTTAAAACGCTGCTGTTCGTCCCTTCCATCAAGTTTAGGAAATGCAACACTTGGGAACTCCTCCACCGACCCGTTTATCCAGTCGCAGTTCTTAAATAAGGAAATTGTAGACTTATATAAAAATGGTTAAGATAAATTATGTGTAACAGCTGAGTGGTATAGTTTGTTAGAAATAATAAGATATATTTGTATATTACAACACAGGGGCTGTTGTGAAGTAATAGATCATAAATGATTTCGAACATTACCTTAAAAAACTCACAGGATCCTCCTTGGTTGTTTTGCTGGGCAACGCTCTTGAGCAAGAGCATCACGTTATGGGCCATTTTACTGACTTTCATGCTCTCGGAATCAACTGCGGCGGGTTCCAGACCAGTCTGCGGCTTATGAACTTTCTGCCCTTCTCCAGCAAATATATCCTTTGAGATATCCGTGTAACGCGTGATGGTTTCACAGGGCAAACGATTCTTGACTCGATTATCCGGAATATGGGCCACCGATTCGATTAAAGAGCCTATCGAGCTGTAGCCGGTCCAGTCGCAGTGGTCAGGTTCAATGTTGTTGGTGCTGCGACGTAGATCACTGGGTGCCTGGTGAGTATACTGGAAATGATTGTTTACATTCATTAGTACGTCAGTTTGTTGATTGGCATGGATTGTTTGGCTGCTGAAGGCATTGTAGGCTGTGCGGGGGTGCTGCTCCTTGGCGTTCTGGACATGGTGCTGACGACGATGGATTTGGTTGCGCCTATGGACGTTTTGCTGATGATTGCGCCTCTGGTTTAAATTATTACGAAATCGAGAGCCATCTCTCAGATCTAGGCGCGATTTTACGTGACCACGTGCCTGGTCATTTGGCACTAATTGATCTGCCCCTGATGGCCGGTAGACGTTGTTACCATACAGGCGCCACATTTCGGAGCTTTGGGAGGCCTCCGAGCTGTGGGAGTCCTGCTCCCAGTACATCTTATCAAAGTCATTTATCTCATAGTTCATTTGCGCGACATTAGAATCGATCTCGGTGCCGCCATTTTCCACTAACTTTGTCTTCAGCACGGAGCTCTGGAAATCTTCATCTTCAACATCGTCGTCGCCACCTTGATCAGGCTCCTTGTAGGACCGCAAGTGCCCCGCTTGGCGTTTACCGCTCTGCGGGACTGCATTACTAGAGTAACGGGGCGGTATTTTGGGTTTCGGTACTACGCATTGTTCGTAGTACTCATCTGTCGGTTTAAAAAACTATTACTTTGAGGATAATCGCAAATGGAGAAGACATCCTTACGCACCCAAAGGCAGCATCGCTCCGGGTGCATTGAAATCCGTCATGGTGCTCTTTCCCACCCGCAACTAAGCCTAAAATATTGAAACACTTAACAAAAAAAAGCTCGGAGCCGCGTTAGTCTGATCTGTGAGAAAAACAGTTACAACCGCCGCGCTTGCAGCTCTGCAATGGCAACAATCGAATTGCAATCGAGGTTAATCGAATTACAGCAGCATGGGACGGTCCTTTGAATATTTTACGGGATTTTGAAAATATTCTTTTTATAAACAGTGGACCTTCTCTAATGGATCAATGATGAATACTTTATTATTGTTTTATTCGTGGCCATTTGTACTTGCAAATGTATCCATTATCCTAGTGCGATAATGTTTATACTATATCCACGTTGGTTAATATATTTTTCTTTATCAAATTAAAGCAGGTATTGATTTATTGATTGAAATTTGATTTGAAAAAAAGTTTTGCTAAACAGTGTAACAGCTTGCAAACAGACCACAAAAGTTGACGTTAGGCGTTTCAGTATTCTGGAAAGTACACGCTGCGTGCACACTGCACCCTCAATCGCCGCCAACTTCACTGGCTTCTCTTTACTTTACCAAAGAACGTGGAGCGAACAGCACCGCGTTGCGAAAGATAACTAATTAAAAAATGTAAGTAATTCAGATATGATAGGCGACCGGTGAATGCAGCGAATATAACTGTGAATCGAGTTCTACTGGCTTGTTTGCAGAACTCAATGTTGCGAGATTAATTTGTGATTCGCAGGGAAATGCACTTCACCGATTGCACTTCAAATTGCAGTCACGTGGTTGAGAATCCATTGCAATCTCAACAAATTATCCAAATTAATGAGAATGTTTTCTAACCGATGCATTTGCTTGAATTGTAGGTGAACCAGTGATTACTAGGTGCTTGGTTCAAGCGCTGGCATGTGTGGAATAAATTGGTAAGTTAAATGTTACCCCTATAAATATAACGTTTTTTTTATAAAGTAATATAAATATATTCATGCGAGCACGAGTCGCTGGTGTAAAGAAACTACTACTTTAGCTAGTGCTTTTTACTTGCTCGCAGAAAAATGTGCTTTGCCCAAGCATAACCCAAATTGTCAATACCCGAGTTTGCGGTGCATATTATTTTCGTAAAGCCGACAGTTTTAACCCTCTTAACTAGTTATGTTCAGAGTTTGTAGAGGTGCTAATCCAAAAATATCTTTTTTCAGAAACAAAATGGAGTCATGTGCAACACGTGTTTCTGGCAGAGATCGACATAAGGTATGAATTCACTCCAAACCTTAAATTAGGCCATCTCAATTATCTGATGATTTATAATTCTATTTTCTGACATCTCTTATGAACCGTTGTGATTCAAATCAGTTAAAACTAATTCTGACACTTTCAATTCACCTAAATATACATCTTTTTTGTGGCCGTGACTTATGAACTTATCTTTTACTTGCAGATCGTTCATGCGACTTCGTTACGGAATATTAATGGGGATCTCTTCATAAAATGGTAATTTTTCTCATAATTTATGAACATTAGTTTGAAATTTCGTGATGAATGACCATTACATCATCTTTCGACTGAAAAACACTTTGATGTATACTAGTTTTCACTGAATTTTAAATCTGTAAATATAAAATCTGTGACTAAAAGTATGTTTTACATTTGAATAATCCAATTATATTTTAATTGCAGTTTATTACATCGCACAATGGTCACACGAGGCTTACAAACCTAGTTTCTATTGCGTTCAAATCGTTCATTCGACTTCATTACGGAATATTAATGGGGATCTCTAAAAGGTAATTTTTCTCATATTTTATGAACATTAGTTCGAAATTTCGTGATGAATGACTTTTATACCATCTTTCGACTGAAAAACACTTTGATGTATACAAGTTTTCACTGAATTTTAAATTTAACACTCTAGAATCTGTGATTAAAAGTTTGTTTTACATTTGAATAATCCAATTATATTTAATTACAGTTCATTACAACACACAATGGATAAAAAATACTGTGACGAACGAAGCTTACCAAGCCAGTTAAAAAGGTAATTAATTAATTAATATGTTGATGCTTTAAAATTTTTGTGACATCTGTAATGAAGCTTGTGATTCAAAATTTTTCTATTATAATTAACTGATGACTTTGAAATCGCTAAAACGATTAGTCTATATTAATGGCAATCTTACTGTTTATTTTGTTTTACAGGTGTTAAAGCAGTACAAAAATGCCAATGGTTCATTTATCCAGGCCAGGAAGGTTTGTATTCAAGAGATCCTGTTTATCGGGAATAGAGACTTCAATGATGATCATTTTAAACCATTCACAGACACCATATAAAGGTCAAGCGCTGACAATCTTCTTCAATATTCTTTTGGAGATAGGGAGTCATGTTTGACTGGTTATGGGCCATGGTTAAAAACTTGGCACTGAGCATCATAATGCATTGTAAAATGAATTAATACCTTAAGGAAATAAACTAAATTTGCTGTTCTTGTCTTTTCAGGTTTGGAACCTTTGATGAAAAATATTATAATATTGTGGAACCATAAATAAATAAAACTCAATTTGCGTTGTTAAAAATCGTTTTTTACTAAATTTGCACGCTCGCGAAGGGCTAGTTCCTGGTCCTGCTTTGCAATCATTCGCTCGCCCTTCGACTTCTTCCCTATGCCCAGCTTCGGCAATCCCCTATTAAGACCCTCGAGAAGAACACATGCCTTGCAGGGCTGCTGCGAGGAAACAAACCCACACCGGGTGCATATGCCACGCTCAGGCTTCTTTACCGTATCTTTGAAGCGAAGCTGTTCGCCGGAGTAGATGATATCCATTATAACCGAAGGTCGCACCTTCTCCAGATCCTTGAGAAACGCTCTGGCGTGGCCGCGATACGCATTGGGGGCGAATACGCACTCAGTTGAAAAGTAGACCAGCTTCTTATAGTGGGCGTACATCACGATTTCCTTCTCGTAGCTGTATTTAAGAGGCTTCACACGGGGAATGGTATCCTCGCCCCCGCCGGTACGAATGCTCGTGCAGCGTCGCAGGCGCGCCGTGTCCCCACGGAGCACATTCATCAAGACAGTCTCCGCAATATCATCCGCATTGTGGCCTGTGGCTATGCTGTCTACGCCCAACAGCTTAGCCCCTCTATCCAAGGCCTGTCGGCGGAAGACTCCGCAAAACGTGCAGTTGTTAGAACGGCCGATCTGGGCAACAATACGGTCCATGGTCCAACCGTAGAGCTCCTCGTAGGACAAGATCTTTAGTGGCATCTGGTAGTCATCCCGGTTCTGTTTCACTGTCTCCAAACTGTCATCCCGATAGCCAGTGATGCCCTCGTCTATAGAAAGGAGCACCAGTTCCAGGCCGTAATTATGACGTTCGTTCAGCAGTTTTAAGCTGTTGGACACTGAGATTAGAGAGGTGGGATGGGAGAAACGGTACAACTTACACGTGGGCCAGGACCGTGGAATCCTTTCCTCCACTGGCCGCTACGGCCACCTTCTCGCCACGTCGAAACAAGTTGCTGGAGGAGATTGTGTGATGGATCTCTGCCTCAAAGGCGGCAAAGAAGCACTCCTTGCACAGGGCATCGCCGGTTTTGGGGCGCTTCGGGAAAAACATCATTAATAGGACTTATTATAGGATGTTGAGCTAATGAATTACCTTCAAAGCAGCGCGATTTCCGCACTGAGACTTGCAGTTAATGGGCATTTTTACTCACACTTAATTCACATTCAGCAGTAACCAACACTGGCTTTAGACAAAATCATATTACCCAGCACTATTTGGAATAAATGAAAAATAAAGATTTATATTTACAATGAGCGCCGGGAAAGAGTCAAAAGCCTTGATCAAGGACATCCGGGAGACCATTAAGCTGGGCAAGCATGCGGAGGCCATACCCAAGTGCCAAGTGACGTCACTATAGGACATACCAATTACGCATCATCCTAATGACTTTATTGCAGCGCCTGCTGAAATCGGAGCCCAAAAATGCCATGGGCTACTTGTTGCTCGGCGCAGCCTACCAGAACATCGACAAGGCGGAGGCGGCCAAGAACCTAAGGCAGTGCATCAATTTTACGGAGGGACCGGCAACCGTCGCGCTCCTCGGACTCGCCAACTGCGCGCCCAGCAACGAACTGCCTGAAATCTATGATCAGTTGGCTGACCTGCAACCGTAAGAATCTGGTCATGACAACACTCCTGCTCTTAATCCATACATGCAGAACAGGAACTACCGATTTTTTCGAATCAGGTGAAACCTGAAGTTTAAGCCTTTGTGGATTATTTAAGATTATAAACCCCTGGTTGTGTTTTTGAAGTATCGACTATACTTCTTTATAGTCCTCCCATTTAGTCATGAAATGACTACTAAACTGGTCTTTACATTACGTTTTTAGAGAACAATCCTTGGACTGGTTGGAAAAGCTTTTTAACTTGGCCTCGGACCCAAATGTGGCTCCTTTCTGCTTCACAGTACTAAAAACTAGAGTAAAGGACCCAGATAATAGAAATTTTATTAAAATTCAGGAGTATCTGGGACGCATTTGGATTTCAAACGACTTCGAAATTGTACCTGAAGATACACAGCTTGTAAGTTACCTTTTCATTTATTTATTTTTTATACAAAGCAAACTTAAGGTTGAAATATAAAGCAATATAATTTATATGAGCACAAGTATCCATGGCCTACAGATGAATACCTTTTCATAAATTAGTTCGTAACGACTAATTACACATTTCCTTAGTACAAAACGACTATGGACGCTCTACTGCAGACCTCGGAACCAAGTGCAAAGAGTGTGGTTTACAAGCGCTACTTAAAGTGGCTTTACAAGAACCAGGATTATGAGACATGTGTGCGACACGCCTGCAACATGACCGAGTCGCATCCCAAGGATGTATATGGCTTCGAGTGGATATGCAAGACCTACTGCGAACACCACGAGCAATCCGAAATAGTTTTTTGGCAACAGGAGCTGAGGCAGCCCATTCAACAGTACGCTGAGCAGCTTCTGGAGCTAAATCCTAACTCTAACTTGGCTTTGTTGGTTAAAGCCCTGGAACTCTTTGCTGAGGGGCAGCTCGTCGCATCCAGACAGTTGGCATTGCAGGCGCAGAAAAGTCAACCTGCGTACAAAGGAACGCTGGAATTGCTGGCGCGTATCCACATGGAGCTGGGCGCTTACAAGTTGGCCCTTCAGCTATGGCAGGAGATTGGTCAGAAAAACGACGCTTATGCTCTGTGTCTATCGCACGAAAACTGTGTATCAAAACTAAAAGAAGCTGTAACGATTTTAAAAACGCTTGAGAACTCCGAGGGCAATATTAAGTCTTTGGCTCGGTGAGCTTCATATCTACAGTGACTGTTAAATTTTTAAGCTTAACAAGATTTTAAAAAATTTGCAGCTGCTTCTTCAAGCTGGGTGAACTGCAGCTGCTGCAAGATTTGCCTTTGGATGATCTGTCCAAAGCAGAATTTGTTTTGTAAGTAAAAAATACAAGAATTGAGGAAGTCATTTCCAACCTTGTCATCTGTTATACCAGATCCCCATCTGAAGCTCTTCAAGAAATTGGTAACTGTGAGACTTTTGAGGCACATCTACTTCGGTGCAAGCTGCATATGGCGCTGAAAAACTATTCCGACGCCCTAAACTCTGTATTGAAGGCAACTCGACTGCGACCGCACTTTGCCGAGTGCTTCGACTATCTGGGCAGGCTGTACCCGCTGGCCACTGGGGACTTCTCACGAGCCCGTAAGTGCTACGAGAAGTGTGTAAGCCTTAATCCCCTAGCTGAGGAAGCTGTCGATGCTTTGAGCTATATCTACCAGGAACTGGGCGAGGAGGAACTGAACGAGACACTGCTGCTGAACACAGTGAGCCATTTGGCCAGCGATGAATCAATCCGATTGCAGTACAAGCTTGGTTTGCATTTCTTGAATGTGAAGAAGTGGGACAACGTAAGAAATTGATGATCATTGATAAATCCTACATAACACTTTTATTGCAGGCGATCCAATGCTTTCGCATTGCCATTAAGAATGACTCCCGTTGCATTATCTACTGGGAGTCATTGGGTGATGCTTATGCAGCACGCGGTTCCTACAACTCGGCCATTCGAGTCTTTCAAAAGATCCTTGAACTATCACCGGAGAATGATTACGCTCTGCTTCAGATAGCCTTAGTGAAAACGGTGCTACATTCCAAAATTAAGAACATAACAGAAATAATTTTTACCACATTTAATAGACAATACACATGTACACTGAATCTATTGAAGATTTCGATACGCTGCTAAATCGGAATCCTAGTTACCTGCCCGGACTTCGAGGTGCTGCTGAGGCGCATATTGGCATTGCAAATAGTTTGAAGAGCCAGAACTTGTACGGAAGATCTAAAGAGCATTTCCAATTGGCTGTGGGACACCTTCAAAGGTATGAGCTCAGCCACTAATTAATTAATTAATTAAGTAATTCTGCTGATAAATGTTATCCATTTCTTACAGCGCCTTTCTCCAGCGGGAAGCTCAAGGCATGGTTTGGCTATGGCGCCTCTCAGCCAGTATTTTTGTTCAGACAGCCCAGTTGCCACACTCGTTGGCCAACTTGGATGTGGCTGGAAACCTAGCTAAACGCGAAGAACCCATTGCGTATCTGTCACGCAAGGATCTTCTACTGCTAGCTCAGCGCTTCTACTTATGCGCCTTAAAACTAAAACAGAATACATACCTGTGGTACGAGCTGTCGTTGGCCAGCTACTACAGTGCTATTCTTATCCCCGAAAATGCAAAAAGCCACTTAGAGACAGCGACTAAGGCGTGTAAAATGGCCATTAAAGAGCGTGGCAATCGATGGCAAAATTGGAATCTTCTCGGAGTGATCAATATGCACTCCGAATATGAAAACTTGTCATTGGCACAGCACTGTTTTATTCAAGCTGTGGAGCTCGAAAGAAAGTGCTACACAGCGTGGACCAATCTCGGAGTGCTCTATATTAAACTAAATGAAGTCCGATTGGCCAACGAGGCCTTTACGAGAGCCCAACAATCAAGTCCCATGTACACCAACGCTTGGATTGGTCAAGCAATGGTGGCGGAGTCGATTGGTGATCGCGAGGAAGCCTTTGACCTGTTTCGTCACTGCCAGCAGTTCGATTACCATCCGGAGGCGGCGCTGGGTTTCGCGCACTGGGTGTGCGAAATGCTGTCGGATCCTGGATCTCGGGACAAGCCGCACATTAAGCATGCCATCAGGCACATGTACGCTGATGTGTATGCACTGGATGCCATTAATTTGTTAGTATTATAGTAAAGTCCTTTTTAAAACCAACTAATAATTTTCACAACATTTAAGGTACGTGCAAAATGAGGAGACGGATGCAAATACAGCATCGCTTTCGTTCCAGGGATTCCTCTACGCCCGAAAGAAACTATATCAACAGGCAATCAAAGCTTTCACTCGGGCGTGTAAGTTGTGCGAACCTGGAGTGGATCGTGACAAGCTGTACACAAATCTGGGATACCTGTACTTGAAAATAGACCAGCCTGAGCAGGCGGCTCACGCCCTAAACACGGTTGCTCATGCCACATTTAAGCCGATCATAGGCCTGGCCCTGGCATATTACCGATCCGGTCATCTGCAGGAATCCTACTCTATATACAACTCCGTTCTCAGCAACGCGGTGGGCCATGACGATGACAAAGCAGCCACTATCCTAGTGGCTATGGCCTCCATGATCTACGCCTTTCAGGGCGAAGCAGACACCAAAACCCTACTTTATCAGTGGTTTGTAGCTCAATATTTTTTTGTTTGTTCAACATTTCTATTGTTATGATTTTCAAAAGTGTCTTGTTGAAGGAAGTCCCCATTCAGGCGTTGTACTCAGCCCTTGCCCTAGGCATACTTCATAGAGATAATGAGTCGACCCTAACGATACTGACGGAGCTGAAAGCGTATGCTTTTAAGGAGGAATATTGTGCCGATATATCCTATTTAACGGCTTACTACATACTTATAAATGTTTGTTGAAAGTGGTGAAAGTTGTGGTTCTACAATAATAATACTATGATCTTTTCAGGAGGGTGCCCGAAAAGCGTTGTGTTATCTACAGACTCGTATCCGAATGTTTCCCCATTCCAGAAGTCTTCGAAATGTATTTCTTAAGTTTCTTCTGGATTATTTCTTTGATGACAAATTCTACCGACTGGCTACTTCAAATATGGGTCTAATAGCTCTTACACTTGGACATACTACTCAACAAAATTGGTAAGTCTACTAAATTTCTATACAATATAAATTTCTATACTGATTTTATTTATATTCAGCATCTTGGCCAGCGAAGAGACCCTGACTACTATATATGCCAGTCAGGCGGTTAGTCCAGTAGACACGACCTTATCCATGAAGTTGTTGCAACGCGCTATACGGCTGAACCCAACTGACCAGCGAGCCAGACAATTACTTTCCGACAGGATTGCCAATTCATGATACTGTTCAACTAAATAAACGATCTTTAAAATGTATATGTATTTGTATTTCAACCGCCAAACTGATAGTGCTCGAAAACACTCAAGGCAATGTGACCGTGCTGCTGGTTGTGAAGCGGTGGTCACACTGCGTCGGGGGTGAAGCCAAGTCCACGAAAAAGTGAATAAAAAGCGAAAAATGTGCGTGAAATAGTCAAATAGTGTATGAACTAGCAATGCAAGACACCAAAAGTGACAATGTGCCGCATAACTAGCCATAGATAAAGCTCTAAATCGCCGTTAGGCTATGCACTGCGCCCTGCATACCTGCGTATGAAAAACCTGCTACCGCCGCAATTACAGTTAGACACTAAAATAGCTGCACGGCCAGCTATTTGGCCAGGTTGCAAGGTGATTTGGGGCACGTATCTTCGCGACCAGGAGATTCGGAATCGGGCATAGCCCACGCACGCTAGCCCAATTGCAATGGAAAACGAATCCGTCAAGTCGGAACACAGTGGACGCTCCAGACGCTCGCGGAATCACAATAACAACGGTGGAGGGGGAGGTGGTGGTGGCAGTGGCGGAGGTGGCAGTGTCAACAACGGCTACCACAGGGAACGGGATCGCTCCAGACATTCCCACCGCAGCACACACTCCTCAAAGTCGGGCAAGGGATTTCAGCGGGGCGACATGGCACCTTACCAGACAAGCGTTAATATGACAGGTGAGTTTCATGGTTCTAGTAGTCACTGAAAACCAATTCACCCAGCTGTTTTTTGGCCACAAGAAGACGGCAGCCACGATGGCCAGGAAGTCATCGAAGTGCAAATCCTTCCACAGGACGAGAATTGGGGCGAGAACACTACCGCCGTCACGGGAAATACTTCGGAGCAAAGCATCTCCATGGAGGACATCAACAACATGTGGCATCGTGAGAGCGACAAGGGTTTCGGTTTTGCCTGCCGCCGATATGTGGAGTCTAGCTTCTACTTCCTGCTGGGATGCGGAGCGTTTTTCTCGCCAGTGGCAATGGTGGTAATGCCGTATGTAGGCTTCTTCCCATCGGCCTTCGATCACCCGGAAATAACGCAGACGGTACGCACCCAGCTGCTGGCCTGCAGTGAGCAGTGCAAGGGTCAACTGGTCTCGCTGGCCGCCCGGTTGCTGCTCCTGGCCATCGGTCTGTGGGCGGTGTTCATGCGACGTACATCGGCTACCATGCCACGGATTTTCCTGTATCGCGCACTCGTCCTCCTTCTTGTCACCATCTGTACGTTTGCTTACTGGCTTTTCTACATCGTGCAGGTCACAAACGGGGCGAAGATCGTTGTAGAGACTGGCGGCGATGCCGTGGACTACAAGTCACTGGTGGGCTATGCCACAAACTTTGTGGACACTCTGCTATTTATTCACTATGTAGCCGTGGTGTTACTGGAGCTGCGACACCAGCAGCCCTGCTACTACATTAAGATTATTCGCTCTCCGGACGGCGTTTCGCGCTCCTACATGCTGGGCCAACTGAGCATTCAACGGGCGGCTGTGTGGGTGCTACAACACTACTATGTGGACTTCCCCATCTTCAACCCTTACCTGGAGCGCATCCCTATATCGGTCTCCAAATCCCAGCGAAACAAGATATCGAACAGTTTCAAGTACTACGAAGTGGATGGGGTGAGCAATTCGCAACAGCAAAGCCAGAGTCGAGCAGTTCTAGCAGCCAACGCCCGACGCCGGGACTCGTCGCACAACGAGCGCTTTTATGAAGAGCACGAGTACGAACGTCGTGTAAAGAAGCGACGTGCCCGTCTTATAACTGCCGCCGAGGAAGCCTTTACCCACATCAAACGCATTCATAACGAACCGGCTCCGGCACTGCCGCTTGATCCGCAGGAGGCTGCCTCGGCGGTTTTTCCCTCGATGGCCAGGGCTCTGCAAAAATACTTACGGGTTACGCGTCAACAGCCGCGGCATACCTTTGAGAGCATACTGAAGCATCTGGCACACTGCCTTAAGCATGATCTGTCCCCCCGCGCCTTCTTGGAACCGTATTTGACCGAGTCTCCAGTGATGCAGAGTGAGAAGGAGCGACGCTGGGTGCAGTCGTGGTCTCTGATCTGCGACGAGATCGTCTCCCGACCAATTGGCAACGAATGCACGTTTCAGTTAATTCAGAACGATGTCTCCCTAATGGTCACCGTACACAAGCTGCCACACTTTAACCTGGCCGAGGAGGTTGTGGATCCCAAAAGCAACAAATTTGTTCTTAAGTTGAACTCCGAGACATCCGTATGACACCACCAAAACGCCCCTCCGATCAACACGCCCACTCACAGCAATCAGACGCAATCATCCTATTTGCATGTGTTTGTCTGATAATCCCAACTAATAATTCCTTCACTTATTTTCCAAAAGTTTTCAACCTGATCGATGACTTCCTTGTGAGAATTGCCATCAGGGTATTTTAATTTTTGAAACACCATAACCAATCAATCAATGCAATCAAAATTACTTATGTATGAATTAGATGAGTATTTTTAGATCGATCCTTGAATTTTGAAAAAAAAAAAACATGTTGGAAGGTTAGAACTGAAAAGTTTTTGTGAAAACCAAATTTTTAGGCAGGCCCAGTTGCTAAATCTTGATCTTGTTACAAATGATAAGATGAGAAGACAACGTACTTATCAGCGCTGAACTCAAACTTATGACCCAAATATCAACAAACAATGCTCATGCTCAAAAGCCCAGTGTATCATCCTTAACCGACACGAACATATCACACCCTTTGATAAGCAAACATGACTTACAAGTTCCCAAAGTATTAATTATAAGAATGATGGTTTGGCATGCAGAACCGCGATCTTAACTCTTAAATGCTGCTCTTTTATACACTTTTTTATTTTAGGAAATATGTTTAGTGTAAAGTTGGGCTTACTCGTCTCGAAATATCTTAAATTGTAATCGATATTTGGGACGCGTAAGTCTTATCGCTAGCCTTAAGATGGAATGGAGTGAGCTAAGGCAAACCCATGGAATTTTAGCTAGGATTTTATCGGACTTGCGCAAAAAGTGCATTATCCACTTTTGACGCGACTTAATAAGATTTTAAATACGCACATTTAAGCCGAAACCGAATGGTCCTAACTCTTCAGCCACAAAGTTGAGAAACGACGACACTATAACTCGAATGCAACTGATGACAAATACATAATATAAGCGAAGACTGCCTGAATATGCATTTTATACACACAAATTGCCAACAGCCACTAGCAGGTGTATGTACTAACCTGTGCATAGCAACCACATATATACAAAAACTCGTGTATTTTTAGAGACAAAATTACAGTGATAAGGACCCGAATTCGTATTCGAACATGTGTACGTTCCAGTGAACCCAATATATACATATATGATATATACCTATTTACAAAACTACTTAGAAACGTTTGCTTGAGGTTTGATTTTATTTTCGTTTTATAGCTAAATGTCTTCTGTCGAAGCTCTTTTATATTGCAATTATCTAGCAATTACTTAAAGCAATTGGAAAACCAACCTAAGCATACCATTTATACATTTACTCCCGAATTGTAACTGTTGTAATTGTAACTAGCATATAAAAACCACATGCCGTAAATAAATCAAACCCACTTCTTTAACAGCTTTAATGGAATTGTTCTATCTAGAGGTTGTTCCGGTGACGCAAATTGTAGAAATGCGCACGTAATTAATTCACTCATAGGGGACCTTTGAAAGCCTGTAAGTGACGTTATCAGCTCCAGATTAATAAGCAGTTCCTATATTGATTAATGAGCCATTTGGTCTACCATATTGTACAGAAGTGAGTAGATTTAATCGCTGATCAAGCTCCAGATTAATGAGCAGTTCCTATATTGATTAATGAGCCATTTGGTCTACCATATTGTACAGAAGTGAGTAGATTTAATCGCTAATCAATGAGTTTTAAGTTCTTTGAATCACTCCCACTCGAATTTTCATGATAAGAGTATCAAATTCAAATAATTAAAGTGCAGTGAGCATGTTGGTCTCACTACTCGAATATCAAACCAGGGAAACCGATGATTAGGTGGTGCCTGGTGGATGGTGCGTACGCTTTTATTTACGTAATTTCATAAATACAAGCCGAATGTGGGTGGAGTACTAACATATCAGATATCCTTTAAACAATAATAGGCAACAGCTTGCGCAGCTGTTGATTTTTGGCTTGTGCGTCAGTGCTGTTGGTATAGAACTTCTAATTTTAGACAGGTCTACGTGTCTTCGTCCAAGTCGCCTAGTCTATCCACTTAAAGGCGTATTCGGATTACTCCTTCTTGCGCTGGAGGCCGTTCTTGCTTGGCTCATAGAATTCCTCCACAATGGCCTCCACCATGGTGTTCATAGTATTAGTCAGCTTGCCCCAGTTTTTCTCGTCCGGTTTGCCACACATCTCGGCGTAATACTTCATCTTGGGCTCCGTGCCGCTGGTGCGTAGAGTGACTACAAGGCCGTTTTTAAAGGTAAATGTGATCATCTGGGAGCTGGAGCTTGTCGGCAAGGTGGCCTTCTTGTCGCCAGTGCTACTGTCGAATCCAGTGGTTAGATCACGGACGTTTTCGATCTCGTACTCGCCGTTAAGGATGCTGGTCGGATAGGTGTCTGCCTTGCCCTCGTCCCATGTGCGCAAGCGCTCAAAGATCTGCTCGATGACCGGCGGGCAGCGGCATATGACATAGGAGCTGATAGTCGTGTGGAACCCATATGTCTCGTATATGTCACGAAGTTTCTCCTGCAGTGTCATGCACAGTTTGCACCGAAGATAGCACGCCATGGTGGCCAAATGGGCAGCCGCGCTGACACCATCCTTGTCAAGCACGGCAGTGCCGACCATAAAGCCGATAGCCTCTTCGAAGGCAAACAACACCGTCTTTCCAGCCTGCTGTTGCTCGATTGCCTTGTTGCCCATCCACTTAAAACCTGTCAGTGTTTCGAAGAACTGGAAGCCTTCCCGCTCTCCCATGGCCCTGAGGATCTTTGAGCTCACCGTACTAGCTATCATCACGCAGTTGCTTACGTCGCAGTCGGGCTCTCGCATTTTGTGCAGCTCTAGAGACCACCAGCCCAGGAGGGCGCCCACCTCGTTGCCACTGAACAGCTTGTAGCTACCATCCTCCCGCACTTCGGCAACTGCCAGGCGGTCGGCATCGGGATCGTTGGCTAAAATGATTTGGCTACTGTTGGCTTTCGCTGTTCTAATGGACAAATCCAAAGAGGTCTTTCCCTCCTCCGGATTGGGCATCGGAGTGGTGGGAAACTCTGGGTCCGGCTCCTGCTGCTCGCACACCGAAATGAACGGCTTCATATTGATTCGGGCGAAAGCCTGCTTCACAAATTCATAGCCCACGCCATGCATGGCCGTATAGGTGAAGGAGATAGGACACCTTCCGTTTGGCTCAAGCATAGTACAGGGCAGTTTTTTCTTTAGGATATCGAAATATGGCGGCACAACGATGTCGTACGGATCCTCCAGCATTGTGTTCGAACACATCGCCGAGTCGTCCCAGGATGATCCCTTGGGCTCCAAATTGTTTAAAATTGCCTCCTGTATACCCTCGTCGTGTGGTGGGATGATTTGAGCTCCATTGGTCCAATACACCTTGTAGCCATTGTCCTCCTTGGGATTGTGTGAGGCAGTCACCATGACGCCGGCCAAGCACTGGAGCCTCAAGATGGCAAAAGGCACCATGGGCGTGGCCACGTAGCGCTTGAACAACCACACCTTGAAATCGTTGTTTAGGAACACAATGGCCGATAGCTCGGCGAAACGGTGGCTATTGTACCGACCGTCATACCCGAAGACAATGCCACGCCCGGACCAGTCCGCCGGATCAGGGTACTGTTCCTTGATGTACTCGCACAAGCCCTGCGCCGTCCTGTTACCGAATTCAATTAGGTAAATGGTCAATAAACTTGGAGGTAAGATAAGATCAAACTTACTGAATGACCACCAGCTCGTTCATGGAGTCAAAACCAGCCCGCATGCAAGCCCTCAACCCTGCAGTGCCAAAGCTGATGCGGGTGCACAGCCTTTTGCGCAGCCTATTTAATCACAGAGTTCAGCATATTAAACTATGATTCCTTTTGCTAGGATTATCCTTACGTGTCCCAATCCTTTGCCCGAACTGCGTCCATGATTTGGCAGGCGGTGCTGGCACATTTGTCCCATCGAATCCACTTGCGGATCTCGCCATCTAGCTCCGGATCGCCCGAAAGAACCATGTTCTTGATCTCGCACAGCATCTGGCCCCCGGCTTGACACATGGTGGCTGAGTTTTTTGGCCAAAAGATCTGTTTAATTTCAAGTTGAATTTGGAAGAATGCCGAACGGGACCGGAGAAAAGGCAGCACTTGGTTGGTGACAGTGATGTCACAGCCCGGCAACAAGGAAAAGCACACTGAGCTGCTGTTAGGAGCGCAATTGAAGATCTGCCGATCGACGTATGTATGTAGTGTTAGTCTGATAAGGTTCGCTAATGCGGCTACATACACACAGTCATTATGCCACGCCCCTTTATAAACATACGGCAAATTTTGACAAAGCGGCCCCCCGTCAAATTTATTTTTGATGCCGTGAGTTTGAGATGACACCGTGACTAGGTGATTATCAGTGATGGGATGCAGACATGTCAACGCATTTAAATGTAAACTAATAATTAACCAAATTTAGTTTAACTCAACTCAAATTTTAAACTCAACTAGCGTAGGAAACTCCAGAGAAGAGGTTTTTGACTTTATAGGGCGCATTAACCTTCATTTGTGGATCTTTTTTTATAATTCCCATTGTTTGCCAACAAAATCAGCATAATCAAAAGCGATAAACTACTAAGGAAGTATACGCGTACTTGGCAGTGTTTTAGATTTGAGTAACTGATAAGAATATGTTCATACAGAAATCTTAAATCTCCTTTAACATATCGACCTTAATCATTTATATTTTCCAAATATTGATCTTCTTTAAATAATAAAATTCGTGTGATAAAAAGATTGCAAGCCAAGAATTAAAAAAAATGTTTTTTTTTTTAAAGTTAGTATTAAAAGACACGTTGATAAAATTTGATGCTGCTAATTATGAAATTATGTTTTCCAAGAAAATATGTTCTTGACATTTGTGAGTGTTATTTTCCAAACATCCAGGCGATAGTATTCTAAACGCAATTAACCAACACTGACGTTAATGTCATCTCCAGCAGAGTTTTTGCAACTGCCCGACGCGGAACGAAAGCGAAATAAAAATAAACCTATTGATTCTGGTTTTTAAACTCAAAAAAAGGAAATGGCCGATGTGTTGGACATTGACAATGCGGAGGAGTTCGAAGTGGACGAGGACGGTGACCGTAAGTAGCTGCGGCCGGCTTTATTGACCACCGGTATAATGCTTTCTTTTTTCTCCCACGCCGCACCGTGCACCCTACGCTCAAAACAGAGGGCATTGTGCGCCTGAAAGAAAAAGCGAAGCACCGCAAGGGACGTGGATTTGGAAGCGACAGTAATACCCGGGAGGCGATTCACAGTTACGAGCGTGTGCGCAACGAGGACGACGATGAGCTAGAGCCCGGTCCGCAACGGTCCGTCGAGGGCTGGATCCTGTTTGTTACGTCTATCCATGAGGAGGCGCAGGAAGACGAGATCCAGGAGAAGTTCTGCGATTACGGCGAGATCAAGAACATCCACCTGAACCTCGACCGGCGCACTGGGTTCTCAAAGGGATACGCTCTTGTCGAGTACGAGACCCACAAGCAGGCGCTCGCCGCCAAAGAGGCATTGAACGGTGCCGAAATAATGGGACAGACCATTCAAGTGGACTGGTGCTTCGTTAAAGGACCCAAACGCGTTAAAAAGTCCGAAAAGCGTCGCAGATAAACTACTCCCAGCTACAAGAATAATTTTTTATAATAGTTAATGAATAGGCAACCGTACAAAGTCTATATGAATTGAAATAAATCAGATAACTCTATCAACTACCCTTTATACAATCAATAGGTTAGAATTATATCTTATATTGGTATTCATTTAAAGCACTACGAGGCTTGGGACGCAAGAAGGTACTACTTCATCTTTTTCTGATGCAGTAGATGTTTTCTGAGCGCCTGCTGCTTGTCCTTGAAGCTCTTCTTAACCTTGGAGCGAGCTTTGTGTCGCAGCATGCCAAAGTTCTTAGTTTTACGCTTCTCACGGTTCGTCTTGGAGCAGTGCTCGTTCACCCGCCCATCCTTCCAGCCAAAGCGCTCACGATCCTGCCGGCCCGCCTGCACAGTCTCCAGGCGTGACTCCTTGTCGTGCTTTCGCTTCTTGTAGATCATCTCGATGCTGTTCAGCTTGACGAACTCGGCGCGATCCTGTTCAAGTGGTCGCTTGCGGGCACTGGTTACGGTCTTCTTAAGATTGGCCGCGTTGATCCGCTTGAAATCTTCGTCCGTGAATATGCGTGTAAGAGCCAGTTCCTGGGCAGCCTCTTTTTGATTTAGGATCTTCATATCTTTCTTTTCCTTCTTAGCCTTTGCAGACTCTTCGCCACTTTCCACGCCTTCATCGGAATTATCTCCCTCCCCATCCTCCTCGTCATCACTGTTCTCTTCGTCTTCGTCTTCATCATCGTCCTCATCCTCATCTTCTTCTTCATCATCATCATCTCCACCTCCCTCACCATCACTGTGCGCCACGTTAACCCATTCCCCATCGTTTGAGTCTGTATCGTCTTCGCTTTCTATGTCAATAGTCTTAGAGTCTTTGAGTAGAGCTTCTGCACCCAAAACAGTGTCGTGGACTTCGCGCTCTCCGTAGGCTCGAACCTTTCGTTCAGCCTGGGCCTCTGTCTGCCTGCCTCGGTCCTTTTTGTGCAACAGGGCCGGCAGCTGTTCCCTGTAGAGTGTGATCAGAGACCGTGCCGCCATCATCACCGACTTCTCCTTGTACGTTTTGTACATAGCCAGGTCCTGCAGCAAGTCCTCACCCATGGCCAGGGGACATCGCATGCAAATCTCACGCGTCGCATTTAGTCCTATGGCCATCACATCGCTGGAGTTGCGTTCAGTTATAAAGTTGTTGGCGATCGTCTTAAGGATAGGTTCGATGATGTCTCCGGGAACCAGTTCATGGGACGCTTGGGCGGCAAATTGGAGCACACGTGTCACCTGACGTTGGTGGGGTTGCAGAAAACGTGTTATGTATGGATAGAACCCGAAAAGGAAGAGGTCGTGGATACCGATCAGCCGGGAAATAACGTCCAAATGCATAAGTTTCACCTCAAATCGCTCGTTGGTGGCCTGCAATTGCTTAAAGAGCCCTTCGGCCATTCCCTGCGGATTGTGCACCAGGTGAATGCCTGAGAAGTTAAAGGCGGGAGCGTTCTTTTTCTTCTTCTGGGCCTTGACCGCTTGCTTTTTGATCTGCGCCAGTTGCTTTGTCCGCTTCTTGGTTTTCTTATTGACTCGATTGGCCATCAGAGCACCCTTAAGGTCAACCTCGTTCTCGCTGTCAGTGTCCTCCTCCTCATCCTCTTCGTCGTGGCCGAGGAAGAACTTGAGCGAGGTGACCAACACTTTTGTTACCTTAGAGAAGCAGCCCACAGTGGCTATAACATTCACAGTCTTAGAATCATTCCATATGTTTTTCTTGTACAGCTCAATCATGATATCAGCGGACATCTTGGCTGCCTTCGGGTTGGCATCCTTCAGCATGGAGTACATGAACGCCTGCAGGCTCTGCAATGGTATAAATTAATATTAATTAAGTCGCCTGCACCATCAGATCTCCGCTGCGTCTTACCGAATTGAGCTTCATATCCTTGTGCTTGGCATTCATATTCTTAATGTCCGTCACAATGTGCGTCTGCAGAAAGGTGCGAAGATTCTTGTCCGGACACCGCAGCAGCTGGAAGAACAGTTCCAGTATGTCCAGTGCGGGCACAAGGTTCTTGTTTCTCAGAAGGATTAGAGCTTTTACAAAGCAATTACGCATCGCCGGATCCAGAACGGTTGCGTAGTTCTTCAGCAAATCGGAAAGGCGCTTGGGGAATTCTTCACAGACAGCCGGGTAGCACTGGGCCACCTGGGCGACGAACATGACAATGTCATCCAGAGATTTGTTCTCTTCGCTGGGATTCAGCGCAAAAACCTCCAGCAGGCTGAGAAAGTGTTGGTACTGGATGTGGAACTCATCGCTATACGACTCCGGATCCCGCTTGATCAGGTTCTGCAATTGCGGCAGGTTCTCCGGCAACTGGTTGTTGTTGGGCCGCACCATAGTGAGCCGTTTTAAGAATATAAAAACTACGATTTTTTTAACCACGTTCCGTTCTGTTCGCAAAATAAATGCACGTGTGGTGTGTGACCGCTTGTGAGTAGAGCGAAAAAGCCTCACCTAGTTTAAATTTAAAATTTTTTTAAATTGTAAGATAAAAATTTAATTTCTGTTTTCTTATTATTTATATATAATTATATATATATTAATTAATATAAGAAAAGTTGTTTATCATCATAGAGTTAAGAATGAATGTATGCAAAGAAACTAATTGAATTTGTCTAATGACATTTTTGTTTAAGTTCTTAGTCAGTAAGTAAGTAAGTTAAATAAAACACAGTTAATCTAATTTACATTTTGCCAATATTTAAAGCTAAACATAATGCAAACATAATAATTTAATTATGCACTAAGTATTTCCCAGTAAGTATGGTCACTCTACCGCTCAGTGTTGCACAAACAGCTGCACTTTGGGCGAAGATTTTCTCTCGACTCGCCTGAAAAAAATGATGGAACTGCACTCGAATGATGTTGACCTGGAGGACGGCGAGGTAACCATTAGCACCCAGATCATAGAGCCTCCAATGACCATCTCTGCCGGCCTTTCAGCTATCGGAGAGCGACGATGATGGCGTTTACACGCCGCTGCAGCGACCTGCAGGCGCGGAGAAGGTGGCTAGTCCCCTTACCACCTGCCACCAGATCCAGACGGCGTTGGAGGACGAGTCACAAAGCAACAGCGAATCCTCGACGGCCGAATCCTCCGAGGATGGGTGCATCAAGAAGCTGCGCACGGATTCCAGCGGACCCGGTGCCCACAAGAAGCAGAAAAAGCGCATTCGGCGCACGGTGATGCGACGCGTTCCGCCCACGGATGCTGAGATGCAGCCGAATCGAGCCCGTTTCAAGAAGTACAACGTGTGGGCTTCCGCCCTGCAAGAGGATGCGCTCAGCGAGAATATGCGTGGCTGTGACGTTACCCGAAGTGGTCGGGATCGAAATGTAGAGAACTACGACTTCTCACTGCGATATCGGCTCAACGGAGAGAACAGCCTAAAGCGACGTCTCTCAAACTCTTCGGAAGACGGCGGTGAATTTTCCCATCCAGCCCAGAAAAGGGGAAGACCTTCTAGTCGACCCATTACCGGGAATCAACAGCGCGGATTGGTCAAGAGTAGACTGGGAAACCGGTCACGTCGTGGTACATCCTCGGCCAGCGGATCTTCCGATTCCTGCGAACCCAGACACATTCTGGACTTAAACGAAGTGGCTGAGAGGGATCCTTCGGATGTGGCAACCGAAATGGCCAGCAAACTGTACGAGGAAAAGGACGAATTACTTGGTGAGTATGTCAAATAAATAAAGCCGTACGCAGTGAGTAATGCTAGTTTTACCAGTTAAAGTTGTGGAGGTCCTTGGCATAGATTTGTGCCTAGAGCTATACAAAGAAACTCAGCGCATTGAAGCCGATGGCGGCATGATGATCAAAGTGAGTAGCGACAGATCTTCTTTTGAATATACTAACACGATACATCAAACAGAACGGCAACCGGAGACGTACACCAGGTGGTGTATTCTTGTTCCTGCTAAAGCACCACGATACCATTACTCAGGAGCAGCAGAAGAGCATTTTTAGTGAGGACCGTCAAAGCTTGAGCAAGTCGCGAAAGCAGATCGAAACGCTGATGCGGGATCGAAAGGTAGAGGAGTTAAAGAAGTGCCTCAGCAAGCAGGTCACGGAACTGCCCACGTTAAATCAGCGCAAGGAGTACTACATGCAGGACGACGATCAAGGGGAAGATAAGCTACCGGGCAACTGTAAGATCCTTTTAATGTTGTTAAATCTCTTTATCTATTTTGATATCTCTGTTTTCAGTGTCCAACCCGCCACCCTCCCCTGTTGGTGCTGGACAGGAGCAGGATAGCCCTGAGTACAGGACCCACGAGATAAACATAAATCTTGTGGACAACGCGGAACTTCCCTCCACATCCAAAGCAGCAGCGGCGGCTCAGGGAGCGCCACTGAAGGATTTAATCAGTTACGACGACGACATTCTGAGCGTTAATTGCGGGGACATGGACTTCTTTTAGGCCCACGCCAAGCGTCGGGCCCCTTTTATACCATTCTTGCATAGATAGACCCATATTTGTACAATTAAATAAATGCCTAGCGAATTAGGAATCAGCAAAAGTAACGGTTTGCAGAGTAAACAAACGCACGCGTTAGGATATTTAGTGACTTCGTGAGCCGAGACTTTGCGAGGCGTTAGGGATTTGCGCATTGTCGATCGATAGTGACAACTCTAGACGGCCCACCGCGACGACGCCGCGTAAAATATTTTTGTTTTCCCGCATTCGTTGAAAAACCGCGGCAATTGTTTGTTTTTATGTGTGGTGCGCGTCCTAGGCAAATGCAACCGAGTCCGCGACTTCAAGTGCTGAACGCCTAACGCCGCCGAAAACAGAAAATAACAGTAATGCGAAAGACCCGCTCGCAGACGGCTCGCACGCAGGCGGAAAATGCCGCAACATCTTCGAGCCCCGGGCACCAATCGACATCGTCAGCGCCAATAGCAGTTAATCCCTTTGATGCGAGCAAGTACAAGGTGAGTTTTCGCCAGTCCCAGTTAATTCAGTCAAAGGAATTTTTCATAAATATGGGGGGCCATAGATATTGATAGGCAGTGTGACCGCAGAAAATGTGTGTGACTAAAACCCCACACAGAGTGGTCAACCAAGTCGAGTCAGCCGGCTCTTCGCAACACTGGTATCCGCCATATTTCTTCAGACCGTGCGGACAAAACAAAATTCGTGTGACAAAAAAAAGGGGCAGTTTTTGCGGTCGTTTGTTTTAGTGCAATTTGATAAAGGAGGAAAGCCGCCGCTGACGAACACATACCATACTCAAGTTTCTGTATATTCTCACGTAAAAAGCCACAGAAAGCCGATCGGTTCCATGAAATGAAACTTTTTGCGAGAACGCCATGTTTGAGCATCTAGGTAATGATTTGGTGGCATGCGGGAGTTTCGGACCTGTAAATGTTTGACAGATGGGAAAAATGTGGAACCAAGGCTTTTGTCCGACTGTCAAAGCATTACTTGACATACTCTGTAGAGCGATTATCTGATATGTTCCTGCAAAAAGCCGCACGAGGACATACGCATGTGTACATATGTGCGAAAACGCGATATTTGCATATAGAGCGCGCTTGTGTGTGTGTTTGTGCGAACGCTTGGTGTGAAGTCCCGCTATTTGGGCATAGACATCTTCCCAATTTTCCGAAATACAATATTTTCATTGTTCGCCATGCCATCTCCGTCTCTTCAGGAATGTGAGCAAATGGTGCAGATGCTTCGAGTGGTCGAGCTGCAAAAAATCCTGTCGTTTCTGAACATCTCATTCGCTGGACGAAAAACCGACCTGCAGAGCCGCATCCTCTCGTTCTTGCGCACCAACTTGGATCTGCTCGCCCCAAAGGTCCAGGAAGTGTACGCCCAGTCCGTGCAGGAACAAAACGCCACGCTGCAGTACATCGACCCAACCAGGATGTACTCTCACATCCAGCTGCCGCCCACAGTGCAGCCCAATCCGGTGGGACTTGTGGGCAGCGGCCAAGGCGTGCAGGTGCCCGGCGGCCAGATGAATGTGGTCGGCGGCGCACCCTTCATTCACACACACAGCATTAACAGCCAGCTGCCCATTCACCCTGATGTGAGGCTGAAAAAGCTAGCCTTCTACGATGTACTCGGGACACTGATCAAGCCTTCAACACTGGTGCCACGCAACACTCAGCGCGTCCAAGAGGTGCCTTTCTACTTCACACTTACGCCGCAGCAGGCCACCGAGATTGCCTCTAATCGTGACATCCGCAACAGCTCCAAGGTGGAACACGCCATTCAGGTGCAACTGCGCTTTTGTCTGGTGGAGACTTCGTGCGACCAGGAGGACTGCTTCCCGCCGAACGTTAACGTTAAGGTGAACAACAAGCTGTGTCAGCTGCCTGTAAGTATTTATCGATTATCCAATCAGGACCTGGTAACATATCCGTCCACTCACTTGCAGAATGTCATTCCTACAAACCGACCAAATGTGGAACCCAAGCGTCCGCCGCGACCCGTCAATGTCACATCCAATGTAAAGCTGTCGCCTACCGTTACCAACACCATCATGGTGCAATGGTGTCCGGACTACACGCGTAGCTACTGCCTGGCCGTTTACCTGGTAAAGAAGCTCACCTCAGCACAGCTTTTGCAGCGAATGAAGACCAAGGGCGTAAAACCGGCAGATTACACGCGTGGCCTGAGTGAGTTTCCTGTGGTCCAAAGACGGAACCTTTATAACAAATACCTTTTTTACAGTCAAGGAGAAGCTAACTGAGGATGCTGACTGCGAAATAGCCACCACTATGCTGAAGGTGTCGCTTAACTGTCCGTTGGGAAAGATGAAAATGCTGCTGCCTTGTCGAGCATCAACCTGCTCGCATCTGCAATGCTTCGACGCCAGTCTCTACCTGCAAATGAATGAGCGTAAGCCCACATGGAACTGCCCCGTATGCGACAAGCCGGCCATTTATGACAACCTGGTCATAGATGGGTAAGAAACTGTCAATTCATTTAGTATATAAAGTTAACTGATTTAACTCTCTTTGCCAGCTACTTCCAGGAGGTGTTGGGTTCGTCGCTTCTAAAGAGTGATGATACTGAGATTCAACTTCATCAGGATGGATCTTGGAGCACTCCTGGCCTACGGAGCGAGGCGCAGATCCTTGATACGCCTTCAAAGCCCGTTCAAAAGGTTGAGGTTATTTCAGATGACATAGGTAATGGCCCACACGCAGCCTTTTACTTGTTTGGTCATTAATCAAGTTTTTCGGCTATTACCAGAACTTATCTCGGACGACGCCAAGCCAGTAAAGAGCGATTTGTCCCCAGCACCGGACGAGCAGCCAACATCCACGTCAAACAGCGAAACTGTAAGTTAAAAGCTGCAATCCTAACAAACTGTCTTACCATATGATTGTATTCTGTCTGTGCAACAGGTTGACCTAACGTTAAGCGATTCAGACGACGACATGCCGCTGGCTAAGCGTCGTCCGCCTGCCAAGCAAGCCGTCGCCAGCTCCACGTCGAACGGTAGCGGTGGCGGCCAACGTGCCTACACTCCGGCACAGCAGCCCCAGCAATCCGGTACGTTGGATCCCTTTTTGCAATAAGCCAGTAACCGAATTATAACTTTGTATAGCCAAGAAACCTTTAAGTTTACAAATTGCTAACTGTAGACCATAGGGTAAAGTAGTCATAAGAATCCAAACACATCCCATTTACATCCATACTGACTCAACCACACTCGTGCATCAATAATTCAGACAGAGGAATGAAATCCTAACCATATTAAGGCTTTTAGGTTTGCTTCCCTTTTTATTGTAAATAACAATTTGCCGCAAAGCTCTAGGACATCATTTAACATAGAAGTATTATATTGGTGCATTAATTGTCTTAAAAATTAATTGAAAATATTCTCTGCAAGAATTTGAAAGGGTATGCACATTTTCTAAAATGAAAATTGCATAGATATTACGTGCGATTTTGACTTCACCATCACTAATTGTTATTCAAATATAACTAGGTCTCCATTTCCTTTATAATTTTAGTGCTTAATTCGTCTTTAGTATGAGTACACCCAGTCCAATTTAACCATATTTTACATGCTTATTTACAAACATATATTTATGTTTTAAAAATTCACCAGTAGGACATTTCATCGAACCTGCATAGAAAAGGTTTCCGTACATTTTATAAAATTCCCTAGCCAAAACTCGAATAGACTAAGTAGGCAACAAATCAATCTTCGCTGCAGAGGAAGGCTAGAAAATTAATTGGAATTTTGACCCTTTCCGCTTTCGTTGCTTGTATTGTAGGTGGTAATGTTTTTAAGAAACCTCAAAAAGCGGAGGAGCTTTACAAGCGTGTTCATTTAGGAGTTTGGCTGCGCTCACGGTATGTTTTCCGTCGATCAATCGTGAGATGGTTCGGGTTTGGAAAAAGAATCCCATACTTAATCAGAACATTCTTACAGAAAACCCAAGCCAGACAGCTCAAGGCGCCCAAACGTCGGCTAAGCAAAGTTTATAGAATATTTTTCTATGTATAACCATTTGTCCTATTTTCATTTGCTATGTATTTTGTGTTGTCACCGATTCTAAATTATTCCACAAAATGTACTCTTATTTTAAGTGATAATTTTAATAAATCATGCCAGTTCGTTAGTGAAGGTTTTGTTGAGAGCCTCTTTTCCGATTGTTGTTCTGTTAACCACAAGGTTATATGATGATAATAACTGAAATAATTGAAGTAACTTGTGCATTTCTTTGTCTTTTTTCTTTCTCTCTCTTTCTCTTCTTCCCCTGATCTTTTTGTGTGGCCCGTCCATGCTGCCGCCGATGCAACTCGTAGAATCCCCAGAACATCAGGCCCGTCGCCAATCGACAGAGAAGCAGCCAGTCTCAGACCAGCAACTGCAGCAGCAACAGCACGAGCAGCCAGCGGCGGCAGCCGTCCATGCCTCCCTACTGGAATCCCTGGCTGCTGCGGTCGCGGATCAAAAGCACTTCCAACTGTTGGATCTTGCTGCGGTTGCGGCTGCTGCAGCTGCCACGGCGTCCTCCGGCCAGAGCCAAAATGCCGGCCAGTAGGCAGCACCCACATCCCACACATTAATCGCACACCTCACGGCTCGCACCTCACTGTTATGGTCCCTGATTCGGCCTCCCTAGTTTCTGTTTTCCGTTCCTCTTCTGGTGGCGCATGGCCAATATATTACCTCAGAGGCTATTCTTCGGCGTTCCATTCGCAGTCACCTCATTATGCATACTCTCTCAATGGCGACCCACCAACTGATGCTTGTAATTCTTGTGTTCCAGGACGCAGGCAGAACAGACAGGTTTTATAGGAGAGGGTGCCCTGCTCCCGAGTGAATCCAAGTGTTCCCACATCGGCCACATTGTTGCTGCCCCTTTTCAGTTGGTTCACCTCAAACACTTCGCTTATGTCCCGTGTCTTTCATTCGTGACCTCTCGAGTAGTTGTGTTACGCTTTGCCAGGGCTTTCAGCAACACACACCACACACCAACTGAAATAATCCTAGATATTACAATTACACAAACTAGCACCAGCATTAATTAGCAATTACTATAGGAAACGCAAATAATTTATTTTCTATTGAAGCGGTCTGCGCAATGATCACAGAGGAGCCCGAAGAAATTAATAGCCCTATGCACTACTAACACTAAAACTAAGACTAAGCGTACATCTAAATCAGATGTTAGTCAGAAGTCCTGCCCACGCGAGTTGGACCTATTCCTATACCCAAACTCGGAGCGAGAGGAAACAGGCCAGACGGCGGCCAGTTGCGGCACCGACATTTAAGTTAGTTAAGTTATTTAATTTAAACTATGGCTTCTGTACGGATTGGAGGCGGTGTTGTGTGAAGTGGAGTTCGAGGGTGCTGCTCTCCTCGCATTTAAATTACGTTGCAAGGCAGGGCGGAATCGCAGAAAAGGTCCATAATATTGGAAGAAAACGAAGGCGTTTTTATCAATAAAAATCGAGTGTAAACGACGGATTAGGTATGTTATGTCGTCCCTGATAAGGCCCCTGATCTTTGTTGGTGTATTTAAGCTCAAACCGTACCACCACGGATTTATATGTTAAGATTTTAAATTGAAAATGCTTTGACTATGATTCGATGCAAACCCCTCTAAATATCTGAACGAACAAATATGAAATCAATGTACAAGGAGATGTGTACTTTAACTATATTATTAAACAATTTTCAACCAAGACCTGCTGTTTTATTTACCAACGGGGGTCAAGTTCTGTTTTAAGTTTATACTGATTTTTCATTTAGCATCCCGTTTCTAATTGAGCCCACCTGAACCCTTTTCTTTACTTGCAGAGGATAATGACGAAAACTGTATGGCTAAGGCCAAAGAGGAATCCGTAATTGATCTTCTAGATTCGCCATAAGCCGCCGACGCGCGATTTTACAAGTAAGGTCCTACGATATCTTTAGGAACCCCAAAGAATTAGACTTGTCCACAATTCGTTGACTAATATTGTAGCATTCTAAGTATGTTATAGTTTCCAGTAGTTTGTATACAAATTATTTGCTAAGGAATGACTAAAAAGAGAATAAATAGCTTATGACAACATAAATTAGTTGGAATAATTTTGTTGCATTTTGAATTTAGCGCCAATCAGCTGTTTTTCACTTTTCAAACAGGTTGGCAGTCCCAATACAACTTTAAGGGGCGTAGTTGCCGTATTTTTAGAGGGGTTAAGTGATTAGTTACTTTCCCTTAGGAAAATTGGTTTTTTCTTAAAGGTTTTTTGTAAAAAAAAAAAACTGAAATGAGAAGTCGACATTGTAAAGTCCATTAGGTGTGTTCCCTGTTACTCTGCGCCCATGTCGTTGGCTTCTTGCTCACCTTGATCGCCATTTGCAGTGTGAATTCTTTGGGAGAATGTCGAAGCCAACGCTGTACTACGCCCTTTTTAGCCCTCCGGCCAGGGCTTGCATCCTGGTGGCCAAACTTATTGGCCTGGACATAGACCTCAAGTAAAAGAACCGAAAGAATTGTGCACTTACATATGTAGATTGCTAATGGAGGCTCCTTTCGAATCTTTAGGCCCGTTGACTTCGCCAAGAAGGAACACCTGAGCGAGGAATTTGTCAAGGTTGGTCGGAAGTGAAAATCGTTGATTTCGTTAAGTAACGCTGGCTCCCTACAGCTAAACCCCCAACACCAGGTCCCGGTGTTTGTGGACAGCGATGGCGAGGTCTACGTGGACAGTCACGCCATCGTGTGCTTCATGGTGGCCAAGTACGCCGGGAATGATCAACTGTATCCGCGGGATCTGAAAAGGAGGGCACACATCGACCATCGCATGCACTACGAGAACGGAGTGCTGTTCCAGGTGGTAAAGGACATTGTGGCTCGGAACATTTATGGTGGAGAGGGGGAATATAACCCCCAATCTCTGACCCTCTGCCACAATGCGTACTCTGACTTGGAGCACTTTCTGGAGAAGGGAAGTTTCGTGGTGGACAACGAACTGAGCGTTGCCGACGTGTCCATCCATACCACTTTGGTGACCTTGGACCTGCTCATACCAGTCGACCGGGAGAAGTATCCACAGACTGTGAGATGGATGGAACGTATGGATAAGTTGTTGCCCGACAACGAGGCGATCAACCTCAAGGGTGCACGGGCACTGCAGATCCGCATCCTGAGCTGCATGGCCGATAACAAAGCGAAAAGCCAGTAGAGCTGTTCTTAATGATGTTCTCATGTTACACATTTACATAACCAACTTTTTGTGCCCCTGATGTGCAATTTAAATTTCAAAATATTCAGACCGCCTGTTAATACTTAAATATAGCGGAGCCACATCATATAATTTGAATTTATTTAATATTTATAGGTAATTTGTTAGACTAATTGGCTTAAATTCATGCTACTCTAGATTCTCGTGTCTTTTGATTTGGAAGTCCAGTGTACAATATGTATGTATGTGCAGTTAGCTAGAGTTCCGATTCATGCAATTGTTAAAACTTTTCACTAAACAGTTATTTACACAAACAAGCGTTTCAATTAGATCCTCTGCTGAACGGGGCAACTGAGTATAACTAGCTCACTACTGTAGACATACAATGTTGGGTATTTAGGGGTTATTTTACTGTCATCGGTCTCCCGTCCTTGATTTTGCCTATCTCTCCTAGCTATTTACAACACAATGTATCAATCACACTTATTTTGGTATCATATTTGAAGCGGGTTGTCCAGCTCTGTCCCTTTAATCGAATGTTGTCCAGTTGTTCATGCCCTTTCCGGTGGTGAGTTGCGGCTGCTTCTCCGATCCGTTGGCGTTCAGGGTGAACTGGTCCAGGCCGTACTTCCGGAGGAGCTCGAAGTCGTCGTCGGGCTTAGCGGCTATTGTGCTGCGGTGCATCTGCGGCGGTGGGTGCGTCGATGGCGTCCGTCCCGTCACAGCAGCCACCGTGGCCATGTGCTTGGGCGCGAAATACGGGTACAGTGGATTGCTGACGCTGCTGGCCACCACACTGCTGTTGACGCCAGCGGGCAGTGTGCTGCACTTCTTGCTAAACGCCGTGGTGAGCGGCGGCAGCGGACGAGCATTCTGATTCAGCGGATCGAAGTCCTCCAGGTCGAAGCTGGTGTTGTTGCTATCGTCCAGCGATATCAGATCATTCATGCTGTCCTCCAGTGGCTGGTGCTGCTGCGGGTAAGGGAGGCACAATCGTACGGGTTGTTAGAAAGCTTTGGGTGTGGGTGTCTAGGATTCTACGGTGTTTATTGCAACTTATACGAAAAGTACATTCAAGACAAGCAACCGAGCAAAAACTACAATGGGTGCAGTCGATTAATGCCAAACAGCGAAATGGAAAAATGTATAATGAACAATAAGTAATCAAAAACAACAGGTCAAACCACGGAAAGCATATATCATCAGACGGCCAATATAAGTATTCAATAATTTTTAGGTGATAAAATATACATTTCCTAGGATTGTAATTGAGTAATTAGTAATTGAGTTAGTTTTTTAAGTCAAGTAATGGAAAATTGATGATCTTCATGATGATGGTTTTTCATGAAACAATGGTATACGATCTTAAATAATGGATCTCAGAAAGAGTGATTAGTAAAGATCAATGAATCTATTAACTAGAACAGTGACATCTAATATCAAATGAGGACATCCGATAGGGACACTTCAACTAGTATAAATCAGGGAGAATCTACATGAGGGCCTTGATGTGTGTTAGTGTGCTTTTGCCGGGGACCACAACCAGGATGGGCTTAGATAACTAACGTCGCAGCTGGTGTACCTCTCTCTTGGCCCGCGGTGTCGGAATGGGCGGATCGGACACATTAAGATGCGAGAACGTCGACGCCGCCGTCACAAACGATGCGCCCGAGGAGGATGAGGTCGCCGATGAAGAGGATGCGTTTGAGATGCGTACGGAGTCATTTCCGGTGTGCTCGTCCTTCCAGCAGTTACGTTGCAGTTTATCAATCTCCGCACTGACGGCTGCCGCTGTGGCCGCTACAATCGCATTCGAGCTGGCCTGCCTCCGGGGCGGAATCGGGGGAGATTGCACGTCCGGCGGGCTATCAAAGCTGCTGGAATCGGCGGTGGGCAGGGGCTGACGCGGTCTGGTGGGCGTGGATGTGTGCCTTGGCGGCTTCGTCTCCACGTGCGGATGCGCGGCATAAGGATGATTGTAGTAGGAGGCGGGCGTAGATTGCGGAGGCGGTGGACGGGCTGGCGGTGCTGCTCCTCGCCTGTGCTCTGCGTTCGGCTTAAGCTGCGTGAGCCAATGGGCAATGCCGGGATGGGAGTGGGTGCAGGTGTCAGTGGAGTGTGATCGGTTATATCGGTGTGTGGGGCGTGGAGTGTGGGGTGTTTGTGGGCATGACATGGGTAAGACGATCGATCGATGGCGACATACAGTTGGACACAGACACGACACAGACAGGAAAACAAAAACAAGAAGAGCATGAGAACAACATAAATTCACAGCACATCAAGATGAGTGGTCGATTTAGCTTAGCGGCAAGCATGTGAAGGGCTGCACCTAGGAGCTCCTAGGCTGCACCTACTGGAGCTGCTGCAGCCGAAGCTCGTAAGCCCGCACCAGACTACTTACACTGCGGTCCACTGCCGGCGTCTTGAAAAGCGGATGGTTCTGCAGTTCCTGCGACAGGTTCATCTCCGAAGATGAACAGAGCGAGCTCGCCGAGCTAACAGCAGGAGACGCAGCGAGGTGATGACCATAATGAGCACCAGCACTCGCACCGTACGCATGGCCGTTCGGCTGAATGTGGCTGCTCGAGCTAGACATGGCCAGCGGGACAGGACCGCGTCGCAAGAACTCTCGCGGCTCCCTGGCGCCGGATCCACCGCTGCTTCCCGTAACGGAGACAATTCCATCAAGGCGCTTGCTGGTCACTGGAGAACTGGGCGCCGAGTGGTGGGCAGCCCCAATGGCCTTGCCACCACGCACGTATCCTCCGCTGGTGCCGTCAGGACGATCCGAATGGTTCGGGGATCCAAGTCCAAAGTGAAAGTGCGTACCACCAAACTGGGTTCCGTTCTCGCGCAGCTTTGTCTTGAATCCCTTGTAGGCGGTCTTCATACCCCGCGAGCCCTCCTTTACCTGAGAATATGGAAAATCGGGTATGTTAGCCATCTTTCACAACCTGCACAGATTCACAAAAGCGCACGTGGAACAACACAGACATGGGCTTTAAACGGGGACTGGACCACTCACCGATTTGACGGCAGACTTTACAGCCGGATTAGTCTGCAATGGTTAGACAGACGCATTTTTGGATCAGAGAACGATTGATCACAACCGCAGCGAGAGCAGAAAGCACAGAAGAGTGTAGGATGAGCGATCCAAGCGGCATATGAAAAAGAGACACACAAGATACAGGCGAGAAACGGCGTGAATGAGATGCGCAGAACAACCAACGGGTTATTTAAGCTACGACTAACTACACTTAATGGCTACGATGACAATGCTGATTTGGGTAATGGGAACTGGGGATCACTGGGGCAATGGGGCTTGACACGTTAAGCTGGTGATTAAAATCTGCGACCAAAGAGTGCGTTCTAAACAACACTGTAGTGAAAGGTCATTGTTTGCGGTGTATGTTAGTAAATTAATGAATTAGTATAGAAGCCAGATTAGACTAAAAGATATTTAGTATTACTACACTCGAAAAGAAGAACATTGGTTGATTATTTACGTG